GAGTTTACGCATTATGGTGATGGATGGCTCACAGTTGCCAGGGGTGGACTCAGTGCATATTTCTGTAGCCTAGACAGTCTTTAGAATTATAATTTTTTATCATAACGTTTATTTTTGTCTAGTCTATTCAGTATTCTCTGGAATTACATTTACATTTGAGTCATTTAGCAGACGCTCTTATCCAGAGCGACTTACATGAGCAATTAGGGTTAAGTGCCTTGCTTAAGGGACATCGACAGATTTTTCACCTAGTCGGCTCGGGGATTAGAACCAGCGACCTTTCAGTTACTGGCACAACGCTCTTACCTACTAAGCTACCTGCCGCCCACATATATTGAAGTGAACAGACCTTATTGAAATATAGAACAGTTATTATGCCTGCAATAGTGGCACTTCATGTTGTAATTTATATGGATAATTTACTTGTTTTAATGTTGTGTACATATAATACATTTGGAGGACCATCATGCATCACAATGTGAGTGTGCATAATATCAAAGTTGTATAGCTATGTTTTCCAGTTTTCCAGACTGAGATCCAAAGAACAGAATAGAATGGAAGCAACTTCCAGTAGAGTAGGCCTATATATATTTGATATTATGTGTGGTAAATTGTGTGAAAATTGTGTTATCAATTTATACAATCTTGAATGGTTAAATTGCTCTCTTGAAAAGTGTGTGTGTGTGTGTGTGTGTGTGCTCACACGCCTGTTTGCTGAAAGGTTTTGTAAATGGGGGTGAACTTTTCAAAGGCATTGTATTATCCTAGGTTAGGGAGAGATCATTTTTTCCTCACAAGTAGCTGGCTGGGAACAATAGTTAGGCGCCTCTCTCCCCCTGACCCTTTTTCAATGATTTTGAATGAGCCAGAGCTGTAGAAATCCATCTGCCTTTTATCTAAGGGAGCCTCACTAATCCGCCATACCCCCTCACCAAGCCAACCAACATCCCTCAACTCAAGCCCTCTCTCTATGCCTTCTATTTCAAATGTAAGAATTGAAGAATTGAAACACGTATTGGATGGGATTTAGGAGGTCTCTAATTTTGCAAGAGAGAAGAAGAGACCTTGGTCTCAATATGACTCCCTGTTAAAATAAAGGTGAAATAAAAGTGAAAATAAAGAGCCCGTTACTCAAATCCACCTCTGCATTTGTATTGTCCATGTTTTTCTGCCCATTTAATTCAAAAGTTTTAGTATCTTTATTTTGTATGTCTCGCTATAGAACAGAAAAAGATCTTGCTTAACAGTTTTCTGTCATCATATTGTAAACCTGTATAACCTACGGATTGTAGGAGAAATACACTTGTCTTATATGCTGACCATATTGCAGCAATAAATCATCTATTTGAATGAATTTATCTGCATCACCCCTCAGATCATTAAGTATCCTTTCTCTCTCTTTTTTGAGATTATTGCAGCCTATAGGATATTCTTTCTCTTAGGAGAATCAGTGTTATTTTGGGCAGACTCGCCTACATCTGATATGTGTTGAAATGAAAAGCTTGAACCCAGAATGTGCAGCATCCATCCTTGACGGCTATGCTAATGTTTTTCTCCAATGCATGCTGAGGAGGAGCTGTGTATGTCAGATCACATTTGCCTATGTGATATGGAAATTTGCAAGTACAATCACTTTAGGACAGATGGACAATAGACCTCTCGTCATAAAAGGATATCCCTTCTCTTTTGCTCTCAGACAATATTTTCAGCTTATTCTATATATTTTTTTGCATTGCATTAAAAAGGATTGAAACTAAATATGTATTTCTTAAAATGGAGCTAGACAAGTGTAAGTTAAAAACCCAACAGTAGCCAAAGTGATTTATATTATTACAAATTATCTTCATACCAATCACATTTGTTTTCAAGGAATGTGTGTCAATTTATGAAAAATAGTTTAATAATGATTAATATTGGCACATATATATTTTTTTGTTAATCTATTTTTGACCAAACATAATTAAGCAATGCAAATGTTTTTGCATTTCTTTCCATATATAATGTGATTCAGTCTTACACAGTCCTCTGTGCGTCAAGATGTTGCCATGTAATTTGATTGAAAGTGCTAAGCCTTTGGCGAGAGAGTAGGAAATGAAGGCCCTGGAGCTGCAGTATTGAAGAGAAGATTCTGTCTGTCTGTCTGTCTGTCTGTCTGGCTGTCTGTCTGGCTGGCCTGCCTTTCTGTCTGTCTGTCTGTCTGGCCTGCCTGGTAATCTCTATTCTTTGTTGCCTTTGTACTAAATAAAAGGTAACACATTATCTTGGTGTTTAATTTTATTTGTAAATGCATGAAAGAATGTAGGCCTTCAGATAATAATCACACACACTGTATATACATATTTACTTTGAACATTCTCCCTCCACAAGCTTTTTGCTTTTCAATTATTATAATTGTTTTGCTCTATGCTACAGCATCTGGTTCTGTGGTTCTGCACCACAATCAGAACCTCAGCTCCTCATTTTTCATAGACGTGATTTAGAACATCCCTACTACACTGACAACCGCACCCAACGTTGATTAAGCAGGTGAAGTCAGGCTACATTTATTTGAATCGAGAGAGAGAGAGAGAGAGAGAGAGAGAGAGAGAGAGAGAGAGAGAGAGAGAGAGAGAGAGAGAGAGAGAGAGAGAGAGAGAGAGAGAGAGAGAGAGAGAGAGAGAGAGAGAGAGAGAGAGAGAGAGAGAGAGAGAGGAAGGCAGCTATGAAGAAGAGAGTCAGTATGTGTTAGAAGCTAAAGCATCTGTCCAGTGAGGACAGTTACAGATTGAAGACTATATATGGCCATTACTATCCAAGCAAGATGCCATCGATCTTTCTCTATGAAATTTAATTTGACAAAACAATGAAATGACAAAAAAAATACAAATTAAGTCATTTGATCCGTGGAAAAATATATTTTATATCAAAGCAAGTGTGTCATGCAGTTAAAATGTATTATTAATGAGTTTGTTTACAATAAACATTCTGCTCAGTTTATTTTTCAATATTTCTGTAAGATACATCAGAGCGTTACATTATTTTTTTTCTCTCCCAGAGACTGAGAGAAGGTCACTGGAAATAGAATGTTAAGAATCTTTTAGAATATAATCTTTAGAAAGAATATTATCTTTTTCGGATTCTATCTCCCAGACTGAGAAATGCTAGTTTTCATCATAGCACTGAGGGCCTTAGTGAGACAGAGATAGGAGAGCTTTCCACTGTTTCCTTTTAACACCATCACATTACCATTCAACCAGGCTTTACAGTAGGACTTAATGCTCCCAGGCAAGTTGGACCCCATAAAGCATTGGGCAACTGATGTCTCCCTTTGTGGGGCTTTCTGCGTCCATTCTTTTAAGGTACTGGATACAGCCAGCTATGAATGAAATCAGGGGGAACAGATCTACACCGCTCAGTGTAGTGGTGGGGTACCCTGCTTTACAGCCTCACAACACAAGGCATTCCAGAACAATCCTTTTGCAGCGTTCGTTGGCCGCCCCTTCCCTTCCACCCTTCCACCTCCCAGGGGCTTACACGTCTGTGACAGGCAGGCATGCCCAAGCAGAGCCCATCTCACAGGCTGCGTCCCAAATAGCACCCTATTCCCTATATAGTGCACTACTTTTGACCAAAGCCTTGGTCAAAAGTAGTGCTCATATATGGAATAGGATGCCATTTGGGATGCCGTCACAGCCTCTTTCAACACACATTTCCATTAACTGGGATGCAGACTGGTCCGGCCCTAATCCCTATGACCCCTGGCCTGCCACCGACCGACCAGGTTCCACCAGGCCTTTTTGTTTTTTTTAGACCAACAATATTTGCTTGCCAGGTCTTTATGATGCAGAGATAAAAGAGCCTTCACTGTAAATGAGGGCCTTGCATTTCTGCAATATAATACAGGGTAGAAAATAGAATGTGGCACGCTGAATACATAGCATTCAATTACTATTAGAACAAGATAATGAATAGCCTAGTGAGGCATTTATAATGGTGAGAGAGGGGGGGGTTGGAATGTTTTTATTTTGTAACACTACAATGAGGATGTAAAAAAGAAGAAGAAGAAATCGGTTAACGAATTATTCCCATCTTGTAGCAAGCAGCAGAGTGTCAAGCCAAGCAACCAAGCCTTTTTCGCTATTGATTTCTTTTGATAATTCTGTATAAAGGGGAAATTGTAGGTCTGGTAGTTGGGATTGCAATTTGCAGCTCTCGTCTCTTCATTCTTCCCACTGCTCCATATTGTTGCTAACATCATTTATGCTGTCTCTAATGAGAGAGAATTATCAGGCTATTGTTGATTTACTGTGGCTGGGGCTGTGTCCCAAATGGCACTTTATTTCTTTTCCCAAATGGCACCCTAGAGACCTTGTTGAAAAGTAGTGCACTATAAAGGGAATAGGATGCCATTTGGAACGCACCCCAGTTAGAATGGAGCAGGGCCATTATCCATAGATCACTGGCCTCTGAAATGAATTCCATGTAGCAGTAAGACAGTCTGCTTTTAATGAATAACATAATGAATTTCCCTTCTTTAATATGTTTTTGTAAATGTAGTGCTTTTTCCATATGTAGCCTATTTGGTTGTAGGTTTATATGGTGTTTTAATTTAGCACTCTGTATATTGTTGGGCTTTCTTCCTAGCAATGTACTGTATCAAATGAAGTAGGCTATTTCACATCCCAATGTTTGCTTAGATGTATTTTTCTTGGCAGTGGATTAAGTGCTTGACAGGTTGTAGCTACTCGACTAGTCATTGGCTACGAGTCGCAGGTCCTATTGTTTGTAATGATGTCAAAAAAAATACAGTGGTTGGGTTACTGATTTTCAAAATATGTTATTTTATTCAATATGTTCCTAAATCATCTACATTTTGGGGAGCTTATCTATTTGTGGAGTGTATCTATTCAGTGCACTATTACACACAGATGATGGAACAAAAACATTATCTGATTTCTATCTGCAACATCGATGTGCATACCTATGTCCAACCAAACCATAAACATTTTTAGATAAGGAAAATGTGTGAAGTCTGAAAACATCCTCCCATCATGTAATCCTCTCGCTCTCTCTTTCCCCCCTCCCTCCCCCTCCCTACAGAGAAGCCAGATAAACCAGATCCCCACCAAGTACAGCACGGCCGAGTCCACCAAGTACATGATCCTGACGGTGGTGTCAATCCTGTGTATCGTGGCTGTGCTGCTGGCCTCCACCGTGGTCTACTGCCTCCGACACCGCTCTCACCACAAGCTCAAGGAGAAGCTCACCAACCTGGGAACAGACACAGGCAGCGATGCTACCTCCACCTATCAGGTAAGAGGATATATATCAGACATTAGTTAGTCTTTATTTCAATGTCCCAAATAGTACCCTATCCCTATGGGCCCTGGTCAAAATTAGTGTTCTATTTAGTGAATAGGGGACCAGTTGGGACTTACACAAAAAAAAATACAGATGACTTGATCTTCTTGGTCATTTTTTTTCATTGATAAAAACGGAGAATCACAGGGAATGTTAGATTGTTTTGAGTGTGTGTACACTTGTTAGTCTACTTGGATTGTATAATAGATAAAACATTTTGTGGTGTAATTTATGTCTGTATTTGACATGTTTCTTACTGTGGAGTAGTATATAGTTATTCCATTCCATTCTGAGTGTTTGGGAATTGGGAAAATGGAAAATGATATGAACCCAACAGGTTTGTGGGTGGCGTTGTCTGTTTGTGCTGGAAGTCATTTCAATTCCCCTCTAACTGGTGTAATTATCCAACGGCCTGCAAGTCCAGGTGTGAAATTCAATTTATAGAATCCAATATTAAGTGCCTTTTTAAGCAAAGAGTTCGATTTTAATTTCCGCCACTGACCTTTCGCCCTTATTTTTTAAATTAGCAGCGGGCAGCGGGCAGCCTGACTTCCGTACTACACACACTCACACACACACACACACAAACACACACATGCATATATACATACACACACACACACACACAAACACACATTCTCACAGTATCGCTGCATGCTAATGACCAAGGCCCTGGGTGTGTCTGTCTGAGGCCATGCTCACACACACACACAGACACACACACACATACACACACACACACGTCTATATGACTAACCTGTACCCCCGCACATTGACTCGGTTCCGGTACCCCATGTATAAAGCCTTATTAGTGTTATTTTAGTGTGTCACTTTTTTTTTTCTTTCGTTTATTTAGTAAATATTTTCTTAACTCTATTTTCTTAAAACTGCATTGTTGGTTAAGGGCTTGTAAGTAAGCATTTCATGGTAAGGTCTACACCTGTTGTATTCGGCGCATGTGACAAATAATATTTGATTTGGATTTGATATACCCCCACACACAACGCTCCCCTTGCGTCAGTGTCCAACCAGCTTACTGTTTATCACAGAATCCTCTGAGCCTTAGCTAGGTCTCCAAGTTGTCAGGCATATTTTCCTGTGTTATGAAAGTATGATGTTGACAATGAGATAGAGAGCTTGACTGACAGGCTGCCTGTTGTACCTGAGTGCTTGCTGTTGGCTTTCATCTGGGAGGGATATTGTGGATGATGCCTCTCTGTCAGTCTCCTTCTCCCTGGATAACCAAGAGAGACATGGGAACTGCCAGTCATACTGTTGAACAGTCTACTGAGGCTTATGTTATCCCTCCCTGGCCTTCCTCCTCTCTCCTCCTCCTCCTCCTCTCTCCTCCTCCTCTCTCCTCCTCCCTCTCACTCCTCTCTCTCTGCCCACCCAACCTCTCACCCTCTCACCCACCATCTCTCTCTCTCTCTTTCTCTCTCTCTCTCTCTGCCCACCCACCCTCTCACCCACCCTCTCTCTCGCGCGCCCGCTATTTCCTCTCTCTATCTCTCTATCCACCATATTGTGCCAGAGGGCCTTTGTATGTTTGTTTTAGCATGGGGGCAAAGTGGTGAGAAAGGCCCCTATATTTGTTGGAGGGCGTGCAAACACAGGCGCCCTGTGCTGTTGTAGCCTTGCTACCCTCTGCCACCCTCCCTATTAGCACTCTATTATAGATGGCCTGCATCCCAAATGGCACTCTATTCCCTATATAATGCACTACTTTTGGCCAGAGCCCTACGCGTAGCAGTACACTATATACGGAATTGCATTCCATTTGAGACGCAGCGATGGACTGGTGTTGGAGGCTCGCCCACACTGGTCACTCTTCACAGACACTCCCACTGCCCAGGGTGATGTATGGATGCTTCCCAAATGGTATTATATTCCCTATTTAGTGCACTGCTTTTGACCAGAGCCCTATGGGAATAGGGTGCCATTTGAGACACATTTGGGAGTCATGTGACTCATAGGCCTCTTTTGTCTTTGTCTTTGTTATTATTTTATGTCAGGCCAGACTTTGTTTTGTGAGATAGCTAGTGCTTTCTGTATCATCTGAACCAAACGCATTGGAATACATTTCCATCATAAAACATTTTCTAAATTTCTACAACGTATGCTTTAACAAAACATCGGTGTTAAATTCCCGATTTTTGTGAAATATAAGATAACACATCCATAGCTTGTTTACAAAAATCATTTGGAAGCATGAATAATAAAACATAGTCTGTCTCTGGCTCACACTGGAGGACCGATGTATCTTTTCATGCAGGATTTTGTTTTCAACATTCCTCCATATCCTACAATACAACATGGTGATCAACCTTGTACAGTGGGGGAAAAAAGTATTTAGTCAGCCACCAATTGTGCAAGTTCTCCCACTTAAAAAGATGAGAGAGGCCTGTAATTTTCATCATAGGTACACGTCAACTATGACAGACAAAATGAGCTTTTTTTTTCTCCAGAAAATCACATTGTAGGATTTTTTATGGATTTATTTGCAAATTATGGTGGAAAATAAGTATTTGGTCAATAACAAACGTTTCTCAATACTTTGTTATATACCCTTTGTTGGCAATGACATAGGTCAAACGTTTTCTGTAAGTCTTCACAAGGTTTTCACACACTGTTGCTGGTATTTTGGCCCATTCCTCCATGCAGATCTCCTCTAGAGCAGTGATGTTTTGGGGCTGTCGCTGGGCAACACGGACTTTCAACTCCCTCCAAAGATTTTCTATGGGGTTGAGATCTGGAGACTGGTTAGGCCACTCCAGGACCTTGAAATGCTTCTTACGAAGCCACTCCTTCGTTGCCCGAGCGGTGTGTTCGGGATCATTGTCATGCTGAAAGACCCAGCCACGTTTCATCTTCAATGCCCTTGCTGATGGAAGGAGGTTTTCACTCAAAATCTCACGATACATGGCCCCATTCATTCTTTCCTTTACACGGATCAGTCGTCTTGGTCCCTTTGCAGAAAAACAGCCCCAAAGCATGATGTTTCCACCCCCATGTTTCACAGTAGGTATGGTGTTCTTTGGATGCAACTCAGCATTCTTTGTCCTCCAAACACGACGAGTTGAGTTTTTACCAAAAAGTTATATTTTGGTTTCATCTGACCATATGACATTCTCCCAATCCTCTTCTGGATCATCCAAATGCACTCTAGCAAACTTCAGACGGGCCTGGACATGTACTGGCTTAAGCAGGGGGACACTGCAGGTTTTGAGTCCCTGGCGGCGTAGTGTGTTACTGATGGTAGGCTTTGTTACTTTGGTCCCAGCTCTCTGCAGGTCATTCACTAGGTCCCCCCGTGTGGTTCTGGGATTTTTGCTCACCGTTCTTGTGATCATTTTGACCCCACGGGGTGAGATCTTGCGTGGAGCCCCAGATCGAGGGAGATTATCAGTGGTCTTGTACGTCTTCCATTTCCTAATAATTGCTCCCACAGTTGATTTCTTCAAACCAAGCTGCTTACCTATTGCAGATTCAGTCTTCCCAGCCTGGTGCAGGTCTACAATTTTGTTTCTGGTGTCCTTTGACAGCTCTTTGGTCTTGGCCATAGTGGAGTTTGGAGTGTGACTGTTTGAGGTTGTGGACAGGTGTCTTTTATACTGATAACAAGTTCAAACAGTTGCCATTAATACAGGTAACGAGTGGAGGACAGAGGAGCCTCTTAAAGAAGAAATTACAGGTCTGTGAGAGCCAGAAATCTTTCTTGTTTGTAGGTGACCAAATACTTATTTTCCACCATAATTGGCAAATAAATTCATTAAAAATCCTACAATGTGATTTTCTGGAAAAAATAATCTCAATTTGTCTGTCATAGTTGACGTGTACCTATGATGAAAATTACAGGCCTCTCTCATCTTTTTAAGTGGGAGAACTTGCACAATTGGTGGCTGACTAAATACTTTTTTCCCCCACTGTACAGTATAACAGACTGATACCAGGGTTGCGCCTTAAATGGCACCCTATTCCCCCTTCGGCCCTGGTCAAAAGTAGTGCACTAAAAAAGGAATATGGTGCCATTTGGATCGCAAGAGGCATAACAGGGACCATAAATTGCTGATTAGTGTGTATAGATGAAAATCAATAACCCATAAATGAGGATACATCTGAACTGCATCTCAAATGGCACCCTATTCCCTATAAAGTGCACTACATTTGACCAGGCTCTGATCAAAAGTAATGCACTATATAGGAAATAGGGTACTATTTGGGACGCTGTTAATTTTTCCATTGCCTGGGCAGTGCCATACTAAAGCTGTAAATATGTGTTATTCAATGTCTGGTTAATTTGGGCTTTTTGCAGGCAGCTTATTGAATATCTCAGGAGAGGCCATTTTCATATGGGGCCTTTTCTATTAGGATATATCTGGTAACAACAAAGTTAGAGTTGTTTTAATGTGAATGTTAGAACCTGCGGTAATGGTGGGGCTGTCTGGCTGTCTGGCCATCTGGCTGTCTGGAATGGGGCTGTAGCAGGGAGGTGGGGGAGAGGCAGGCCCTCCCTGGGGGTTACTGGGACAGATAAGCGAGCTAGCTGGCAGACAGACAGGCAGGCAGATAAACGGTCAGGCAGGCAGGCAGACGGTCAGGCAGGCAGACTGACAGGCAGGCAGGCAGAAGGACAGGCAGGCAGGGAGGCACACGGACAGATTTTCATCAAATTTAGTGGTTATAAGCTACTAAACTTATAGCATGTTAATAGAAATATGACTAGCAGGATTCCTGAATTTTTCTATAACGTTGCAGATATTGAGTGTGCTTACACTGAAGCAGATTGTAACAACACCTTATATACTCTTACCAGTTAATGGTACTAAGTTTATGGTTGCTGGTAAAACAGAGACAGACCTAATTGCCGTGGTTATAGTTTAGACGACAGCCAATAGATCAATGTCACAGGGAAAATGAGGATTAGTGAGATAAGATATCAACTGTAATGGAGGGATGGTGACATGACTTGTGTTGTCACTCACAGCAAGTGTTAATCATGATCATCTCTCTCCTAATGACTGAAGCATGTGTAGCTAGACGTCCTCTGACATTAGCTAGGTTACATCACCAGCTGCATTAGATCACTGCTACCCCAACAGATATCCTCACTCAGCTGTGACTGAGAAAAATTATCATTTGAACTCAATGTCTTGGAGAAAATGTCATTCCATAGTCTGTCCCTGGCTCACACTGGAGGACAGATGTCTCTTTTGATGCAGGTTTTTGTTTTAAACATTCCTCCATATCCTACAATACAACATGGTGATCAACCATATACAGTATAACATACTGACACCAGGGTTGCGTCTTAAATGGCACCCTATTCCCTACATATTCCCCTTCGGCCCTGGTCGAAAGTAGTGCACTAAAAATGGAATATGGTGCCATTTGGAACGCAACCCAGATCATGAAGCAGAGAAAAATAATCATTTGAACACATTGTCTTGGAGAAAATGTAATAACTATTTCAGTATTCCTTAAATATTCCTCAAATAATATTTCAGTATTACTGAAATAGCAGGTTGAACCCATGCTGGAATACAAAATCCAACATCATGTAAGCTGATAGTATGCAAACTGTAAATGTTAATGTGCGCATTAGCAAATATTATATGACAGCAGTCAAACCCCCATTGATTGTGAATGTGCACTCCCAGAGGTAGTGTATAATAGTGACGTAACTTTAGCGACGGATGCCGTTTCCTTGGAAATGGTCATTAACATAGTCATTAACACTAAAACCGCCTGGACTTGACGCATTCAAGAAGCAGCCTATGACGCCTTAGGAACATCTACATTTTTAACAGCCTATTAATAATCAATTTAATGTATACCATAAAAATCCATTGTTTCTGTATAGGTAGGTCTTCAAAAACATTAGGATATGAAAAACATGTATTTCAAAACAACAGAATAAGTGTGTTTACTTTGTTACTGTGCTCATAGTCTGCCGTGTCCCTCCTTCTGCTCCTAGGAGCTGTGTCGTCAGCGGATGTCGGTCAAGCCGCCGGCGGAGCGTCCAGAGCCGATGCACAGTGTGTCGTCACGGCTCAACAGTGTGTCGTCCCAGTTCAGCGACGGGGGGCCCATGGTCAGCCCCTCGGCACGAAGCTCCACCTCCTCCTGGTCTGAGGAACCCGTCCACTCCAACATGGACATCTCCACTGGACACATGATCCTGGTAAACATCACTATACCCTTATAGCTGTCTGACTGTTTGTCTGTCTGTCTGTCTGTCTGTCTGTCTGTCTGTCTGTCTGTCTGTCTGTCTGTCTGTCTATCTATGTGTCTGTCTGTCTGTCTGTCTGTCTGTCTGTCTGTCTCTCTCTCTCCCATCTGTCTTTCTTTTTCTTTCTCTCTCTCGCACATAGTCTCTTTCTTCCTCTCCTCCTACTCCATCTCTCTCTTCGTTTCTATTCATCTCATTACAGCCACATTTCAATGAGCAGGCTTGTTCCACATGTCTTCTTTTCCCACAGATTAAAATATCCATTGATTCTGAATAACTGTCTACCATAATTGCAATACATAGCTATTCTTCACATAACCCTGTCCTCCTGCTCTGAGGCTACATGCACAATGATAGAAGGACCCTGGGATGTGTTCAATAGGCATGAAGCTCTTAATTGCCCTTGAGATTTACATATCGGGGCAATACATATCATATATATGAGACACACAGACATGAGCACGCACACACACACGCACACACCCACACACACAACGGTTGACCCTCTGTCTGGCTGGGCTATTCTGACTGACTGGCAGTGAGTGGAGCAGCAGTGTAACGTGAGAGAAAGCTCCGTGTGCTTCAGTACCTCGGACAGCTCCCTGGCAGCAGATAGCAACGTGCTGCTACTCAACTGAGCCCATTTTCAACGGTTTGGCCAAATTGTTTGTCCCGTCCTCCCACGTACGCCAGTTTAAATATGAGAATGAACTGGGCCACGAGGCCGTCATTGGAGAGATTCTGTTCAGTGTTCATGAGACTGGGGCTATGGTGGGTTAGTATATATAGGAGCCAGCTAGGGCAGGGAAGCAAAGGCAAATTACCCAGGAGGTGTGAGCCACGCTCCCTGTCTTCCCACTGCCGACTGTGCCCCTGGCCCCTCCCCCCGTCCTGCTTCATTACATACTGCAAGAGACTGGGGCAGATCCAGGGGCACGCCTCTCTCTTCTTCTGCAATGAATCCCCCCTCTCCTCTCTCCGAGAGAAGAAAACCGAGCTACATACTCCAGAGCAAGGGCGAGCCGCCCTACCCTCTCTCGCCTCCCACGCGAGCGCTAAAGCAACTAACGAGCGAGAGCCCCGTCTCCTCTTCTCCGCCCAGCCCCCCTCTCCTCTCTCTCTCTCCGCCTCCTCTCTCTCTCCTCCTCCCCTCTCCTCTCTCTCCTCCTCCTCCCCTCCTCTCTCTCTCCTCCCCTCTCCTCTCTCCTCCTCCCCCTCTCCTCTCTCTCTCCTCCTCCCCCTCTCCCCCCTCTCTTCTCCCCCCACTCCCCTCTCTCTCTCTCCCTCCCCTCTCTTCTCTCCCCTCTTCCACTACTCTTCTCTCCAGCCCATTTTCATCTCCTCACAGGGGGTCCCTTTCTCACAGCTGAACTGTCTCTGTCTTAGATATTAACTACAACTACAGGCCAAATGCAGTCAACAACAACAACTGCTACTGTGATCCACCTGCCAGTAAAATCAACACTGAAGTCCATAATGCACTATATCATTATGCCCTCAAATGCCCTTTCTTAAAAGTGATTGTTCATCTAGCCACAGTAAATGTTCTGAGTAGTTTCCTCAGACATATCATATGACCAGAGTCAGACCAGCACTATTCTGAGCTCATATTGAGTTTTCATAAGCAGTACATAAAGACAGTACCAACAGTACAAGCTGCATACTTACAGTACAGTACATTGTAGAGTGATTAAAACTGTGGGGGTCAGAAAAAAGCATAATTGCTTACTAGGTTTCCCCCCCAAAAAACGTAATTGCCTTCTGTAAAGCTGCAAATCCCACATCATCATGATCCCCGACTGTTTTTAATTTGAGAAATGCCTTGCACTATCTTATCTATGTTAATGTATTACTTTTTCCCATGTGACTTGTTCAGAATATGACTTCATACAGAGACTTGGCTATGTCTTAAGCGGACTAACTTACTCTATATAAAAATCATATTATCTTGTCTTTTGTTGCTGGCCAGTAAGTGTTATAGATTATACTGCGTGGAGTCTATATAGATTAGGGGTTTGCGAAGCCGGCGAGTAGGAAGTTATTTTGAAGCTAGCTGAGTGTGAGGGGTGTGTGCCAAGTTGTAACTTGGAGTGTTGAATTATACCACAATGTCGCAGGCACCATGTGTGTGCCATATATGAAGAAAGATGTTGTTTAATCACTTTAATACAGGACAGTGTCAGAGGAAAGCCTATCGGGAGCATTTATGTTGGAAAGCACAATATGTGTTCAGGAGCAGGTCTTAATCTTCCATGATACCCCCTATTCCATGTCTGCGTCCCAAATGACACCATATTCCCTTTATAATGCATTCCTTTTGATGGGCTCTGGTCAAAAGTAGTGCCATCTGGGACACATCCCATATAAACTTAATCCAGGATTTAAAAAACTGTGCCTTATTAGAACCATGTGATACTGTAGGTACCTCACTGTACTGTGTAAGCTGCAATTGTACACTAGTTCCCTTCCCTTTCCTGGCATCTCCATGTGTGCGTCCGAAATGGCTCCCTATTCCCTGTTTAGTGCACTCCTTTTGATGGGTTCTGGTCAGAATTAGTGCATTACACTCCTTTTGTGACACACCCCATCAGTGTAAAACCAAACAGCTTATATGTGCAAATGGCCTTCTCTCACCCAGGTGCTGTAGTCTAGTTCATTATGAGGCTCTAGCCCTGCCTCGACGTCATTGACAGCTCTGAGCAGCCCTGAGACGAGGGCTAGTTCCTCATCTAGCGTTATTTCATTCTGATTTTATTGAGCACCTTTGGCAGCTGTAAACCCAGCAGTAAGGGGATTAGCCAGTGTTTGCCTGACACATGGTGATCTCAGCACCTCCAGATTGGATTGGAATAATCCCTTTACACAGTACAAAACCCCATTACTCTGGCATTAGCACAGAGGAGAGTGTGTCTCTCTGATGCCCTGGCAGGTAGGGCTGGTGGAGGAGGAGGGGGGATGCAGGAGTAGAGGAGAGGAGGTGGAGGAGGAGGGGGGATGCAGGGGTAGAGGAGGGGAGGTGGAGGAGGAGGTATTTGGGATGGAGATAAGTGCAGAATGAAGCTGCTATTCGATAAGGGGCTGAATCAAGGAAGGGCGACGGATTCGTGCCCTGCTAAAAAATGTCGCCCGTTTCCCAGACTGTGTTCAGTGTTTTCAGCACATAATGTAATAAGTGTTGATATGATATGGAGACCGAGGCCAAAATTGCACCCTATTCTCTAGTGCACTACTTTTGACCAGGGTCCATACGGCTCTGGTCAAAAGTAGCGCACTATACCCTGTTAAGAGAAAGTCTATTAAGCCTCTTTGAGTAATGAACATGAATCCAGATTATGTCCCCCCCCCCCATTTGTAACCTTCTGTTATTAATAGAATGACATTAGGGCTGTGTCCTAAATGGCAGCCTATTACCTACTGTATATAGTGTACTACTTTTGATCAGATCCCTATGGGTAGTATGTTAGTAGTGTACTACATAGGGAATAGGGAGTCATTTCTGACGCAGACATGGAGTCCGTTTTAGGAGACTATTTTATTTAATTAATACAAATTCTAATAGTTCACCTAATTTAAGTTTATGTGACAAAACAAGCAATGTAGAGAATCATTGTACCATCTAAAGTGTTGTGAAATATATTTTCAATAACCAAAAATATTGTATTTTGAGCTGTTTGAAACTGGTGTACCAAATCGAAAGTACAGTGGGGAAAAAAAGTATTTAGTCAGCCACCAATTGTGCAAGTTCTCCCACTTAAAAAGATGAGAGAGGCCTTTAATTTTCACCATAGGTACATGTCAACTATACAAAATGAGAATATTTTTTCCTGAAAATCACATTGTAGGATTTTTAATGAATTTATTTGCAAATTATGGTGGAAAATAAGTATGTGGTCAATAACAAACATTTCTCAATACTTTGTTATATACCCTTTGTTGGCAATGACACAGGTCAAACGTTTTCTGTAAGTCTTCACAAGGTTTTCACACACTGTTGCTGGTATTTTGGCCCATTCCTCCATGCAGATCTCCTCTAGAGTAGAGATGTTTTGGGGCTGTCGCTGGGCAACACGGACTTTCAACTCCCTCCAAAGATTTTCTATGGGGTTGAGATCTGGAGACTGGCTAGGCCACTCCAGGACCTTGAAATGCTTCTTACGAAGCCACTCCTTCGTTGCCTGGGCGGTGTGTTTGGGATCATTGTCATGCTGAAAGACCCAGCCACGTTTCATCTTCAATGCCCTTGCTGATGGAAGGAGGTTTTCACTCAAAATCTCACGATACATGGCCCCATTCATTCTTTCCTTTACACGGATCAGTCGTCCTGGTCCCTTTGCAGAAAAACAGCCCCAAAGCATGATGTTTCCACCCCCATGTTTCACAGTAGGTATGGTGTTCTTTGGATGCAACTCAGCATTCTTTGTCCTCCAAACACGACGAGTTGAGTTTTTACCAAAAAGTTATATTTTGGTTTCATCTGACCATATGACATTCTCCCAATCCTCTTCTGGATCATCCAAATGCACTCTAGCAAACTTCAGACGGACCTGGACATGTACTGGCTTAAGCAGGGGGACACGTCTGGCACTGCAGGATTTGAGTCCCGGCATAGTGTGTTACTGATGGTAGGCTTTGTTACTTTGGTCCCAGCTCTCTGCAGGTCATTCACTAGGTCCCCCCGTGTGGTTCTGGGATTTTTGCTCACCGTTCTTGTGATCATTTTGACCCCACGGGGTGAGATCTTGCGTGGAGCCCCAGATCGAGGGAGATTATCAGTGGTCTTGTATGTCTTCCATTTCCTAATAATTGCTCCCACAGTTGATTTCTTCAAACCAAGCTGCTTACCTATTGCAGATTCAGTCTTCCCAGCCTGGTGCAGGTCTACAATTTTGTTTCTGGTGTCCTTTGACAGCTCTTTGGTCTTGGCCATAGTGGGGTTTGGAGTGTGACTGTTTGAGGTTGTGGACAGGTGTCTTTTATACTGATAACAAGTTCAAACAGGTGCCATTAATACAGGTAACGAGTGGAGGACAGAGGAGCCTCTTAAAGAAGAAGTTACAGGTCTGTGAGAGCCAGAAATCATGCTTGTTTGTAGGTGACCAAATACTTATTTTCCACCATAATTTGCAAATAAATTCATTAATGTGATTTTCTGGAGAAAAAAATTCTCAATTTGTCTGTCATAGTTGACGTGTACCTATGATGAAAATTACAGGCCTCTCTCATCTTTTTAAGTGGGAGAACTTGCACAATTGGTGGCTGACTAAATACAAATTTTCCCCACTGTAAAAGGCACAAAAACGAAACTTAAGATCGGGAAGCATAGAAAAGCGCACATAGAAAATATCTACCGCTTCTTAGACTTGTTTTCAATGAGAATGACAGATTTATTACTCACATTTCTATGTGAATTTGGTCTGGTCACCCAAAAAGTTACATATTGCAGCTTTAAAGAGACATTCCTGGTGATTGTTTCCTGCCTGTTTGTGTATGGACCCTGGATAATCATTGATGTCCAACAACCATCTCAGCCCAACTGTCCTCTATCAACAGAGAGGAACAATAGCTAGCCTACCCTGTTGGCCCCCATGCTAAAACATGCTAGGTTTCACATTTAGCTTTGACAATCTCATTAGCGGCAGTTAATCAAAGTCAGTGCTCCTGACTTAATGATGAATACAGTATGAGAGGTAATGGGCTCGGTTGAATAGCTTATCATTTAGAGGGAACTATTCCTGTTCCTGACTACAGATGTAGGATCTTAATTTGAGCCAGTTTGCTACACCAGGAAAATAATCGTGCAGCAACAGGAAATGTTAATTATTATGTGGATTATAATTAAAGATGTGCTATGCAGAAATCGCTCTGCCATTTCCTGTTTGCTAAAATTCTAATTGTTCACTTAATTTCAGTTTGTGACAAAAGTATCATTGTACCATCTAAAATGGTAAAATATATATTTCTATAATCAAAAATATTTTATTTTTGGCTTGTTTGAAGCTGGTGTACAAAACTGAAAGTAAAATATTAAAAAAAGAAAAGATTGTGAAACATAGAAATAGTGCACATAAAACCTACCACTTCTTAGACTTGCTTTCAATGAGAATAACAGATCTATAACACACATTTCTCTGTGAATTTGGTAGGGTTGCCCAAAAACGTACATATTGCAGCTTTAATGGACATTTTTGTAGGGGTTGATAAATTTTTCGGTAGGGCAAATCAAGTCAAATTTCAAAGTGGAAATGACTAAGTATAGAAGCCTTTTTAAACAAAAAACACAGTACAAGATTGCATATCCTGCTGTGCAAGAAATTTCTCAGCAACAAAAGAGTGATCAGATTTAGATCCTACATCTGTACGGCTAGGACTACATAGAGACCATAGATAATAGAGACCATAAACAACAATAATAAAGACCTCGGAACCAAATGCCACAACACATTAGCATTATTATTCATATAATTATAAGAACATTTCTACTGGCTCATCTTTACTCCTGTTGAATTAAGAATATTCTATTTTGAGTCCTTGTTGTTTGTATAGCTTGTTGGTCAGGTCATTATTGTCAAAGAGAATGTGTTCTCAATTTACTTACCTGGATAAGATATTATCTTTCCTCGACCTACCTTGTCTTACATTGAGGAGGAATACACACCAACTGACAAACATGATGGGTACAACTATAGTTATTGAATGCATATTGACTCCGTCTTCTCTTTCCTCGCTAGTCTTACATGGAGGATCACCTGAAGAACAAGAATCGTCTGGAGAAGGAGTGGGAGGCTCTGTGTGCCTACCAGGCTGAGCCCAATGCCTCCACTACAGGCCTGGGTGCCGGGAACACCAAGAAGAACCGCTCCAATGCTGTGGTGGCCTGTAAGTTATCATCCTTCCGTATTCTTCCATGTTTATTGGATAGAGAGGAAAGGTAGACGAGTGTGTGCTGAAAGAGCAGTGAATGGGATTTGAACCTATGGTCACAGCAGTACATCAGGCAGCAGCTTAGACCACTAGATCACCCCAGGTCACAAGGCCTGTAAGTTCTCCTCCTGTTCTCTATACGTTGACCTTACAGAGCCTTACCTTCTTAATGCACTTGGATTTGTCCCTGCATTATAGGTGACTGACCTCTGAGTTAAAATACTGTTCTAAAATGCTCTTAGATATCATGTTACTGTCAATTGTACCCATCTTAGACTATTTCAAATTATAAGATATATGGAGCAGGTTTGCTTTTGGTTCGAGGTTATGTTTGAGAGTGTTTTGAGTATTTGAGCATTCCAGTGCAGGCAGGCCGGGCAGGGTGATGAGTCCTTGTAGAGGAGGTTGAGTTGGTGCGATAAATTCCTCCATTTATATTTCAGATGATCACTCAAGAATAACCTTGAAGGTTGAAAACAGCCACAGCAATTCAGATTACATCAATGCCAGCCCAATCGTAAGTACCTTTTCAGTATACTAAACTCTACTTTATAGTGTTGTGTGCTGTACTGACAGTCCCACAGGGATTTAGAACGAACAAAAGCAAAGCAGTGCTTTACAATATAAAATTTGATGCAACAGGTTGCTTAGCTTTAGTAAGATACATTGTATTGCTTATGCACACTGTGTTTCATGCGTTGAATATTAATGATTGTTTTATAAGAAATAATGAGTGAATATTCACATGGGGAAGGGGTGGGGAAGGGTACCACGCATGATTCACCCTATTCACCCCCATTTTGAAAGAACAGTTGATCTTTCACTATTATTGACCTTGAATTATGTTAATGTAGACTGTTTACTGTTTGGCACAGCTATGCAGTTCAGTTTTGTTGTGCTTTGATGTTGCCTATATACACTGAGTGTACAAAACATTAAGAACACCTGCTCTTTCCATGACATAGACTGTCCAGGTGAAAGCTATGATCCCTTATTGATGTCACTTCAATCAGTGTAGATTTTTAAATGTTTATTTAACCTTTATTTTAACAGGGAAGACATATTGAGACTTACAGTAGGTCTCTTTTGCAAATGCGCCCTGTATAATACAACATAAATATACACATTATACCCCAAATAAATAAATACATACATATATATATATATATATATATATATATATACTGTACACAGGAGGTTGGTGGCACCTTAATTGGGGAGGACGGGCTAGTGGTAATGGCTGGAACAGAATAAGTGGAATGGTATCATTCCAATCACTACGTTCCAGCCATTATTATGAGCCATCCTCCCCTCAGCAGCCTCCTGTGATACTGTATATATACATTACATGACCAAAGGTATGTGGACAGTTGCTCGTCGATCATTTCATTCCAAAATCATGGGCATTAATATGGAGTTGGTCCCCCCTTTGCTGCTATAACAGTCTCCACTCTTCTGGGAAGGCTTACCATTAGATGTTGGAACATTAATGCAGGGACTTGCTTCAATTCAGCCACAAGAGCATAAGTGAGGTCGGTCACTAATGTTGGGCGATTAGGCCTGGCTCGCAGTCGGCGTTCCAATTCATCCCAAAGGTGTTCGATGGGGTTGAAGTCAGGGCTCTGTGCAGGCCAGTCAAGTTCTTCCACACCGATCTCGACAAACCATTTCTGTATGGACCTCGCTTTATGCACGGGGGCATTGTCATGCTGAAACAGGAAAGGGCCTTCCCCAAACCTTTTCCACAAAGTTGGAAGCACAGAATCGTCTAGAATGTCATTGTATGCTGTTGCGTTAAGATTTCCCTTCACTGGAACTAAGGGGCCTAGGCCGAACGATGAAAAACAGCCCCAGACCATTAAACTTTACAGTTGGCACTATGCATTTGGGCAGGTAGTGTTCTCCTGGCATCCGCCAAACCCAGATTCGTCCGTCGGACTGCCAGATGGTGAAGCATGATTTATCACTCCAGAGAACGCGTTTCCACTGCTCCAGAGTCCAATGGCGGCGAGCTTTACACCACTCCAGCCGACGCTTGGCATTGCGCATGGTGATCTTAGGCTTGTGTGCCGCTGCTCGGCCATGGAAACCATGGAAACCCGAACAGTTCTTGTGCTGACGTTGCTTCCAGAGGACTCAGTAGTGAGTGTTGCAACCGAGGACAGACGATTTTTACGCGCTACGCGCTATGTGCTTCAGCACTCAGCGGTCCCGTTCTGTGAACTTGTGTGGCTTACCACTTCGCGGCTGAGCCGTTGTTACTCCTAGACGTTTCCACTTCACAATAACTGACTTGTTGGAAAGGTGGCATTCTATGACGGTGCCACGTTGAAAGTCACTGAGCTCTTCAGTAAGGTTAATCTACTACCAATGTTTGTCTATGGAGATTGCATGGCTGTGTGCTCGATTTCATACACCTGTCAGCAATGGGTGTGGCTGAAATAGCCAAATCCACTAATTTGAAGGGGTGTCCACATACTTTTGTGCGCAAAGCTGTCATCAAGGCAAAGGATGGCTATTTGAAGAATATATTTTTATTTGTTTAACACTTTTCTGGTTACTACATGATTTCATATGTGTTATTTCATAGTGTTGATGTCGTCACTATTATTCTACAATGTAGAAAATAGTCAAAATAAAGAAAAACCATGGAATGAGTAGGTGTGTCCAAACTTTTGACTGGTATTTTAACACATTAAAATACAAAAACATAGTCATGGGAAGCACAAAATAAAACATCACAAATCACCCAGATAAACAGTTACATTCCTCCACAAATAAGTCCTCAATCAATACTTTAAATTGCCCGAATGACACCAGAACATCAAGATTAAATGTGTTTAGAATTTTGTTCCAGCAATACGGTGCATTAAAACTAAAAGCAGATTTACCTAGCTCGTTGGAGACCCTAGGAAGCTCAAGAGTTAACCAATCCTGTGAACGGATTAGGCAACTCAGGTGTCTATACTTCAACAGCAAAGTTAGATAAGATGGACGTTTATGAAGTAGGGCCTTGTAAACAAAAATGAGTAATGTAGAGATCTATGGGTCTTTAGTGAAGTCCAGCCAACCTTTTGATATGGAATGCAGTGATGAGTATCAAAACTGTCCCCTGTAACAAAACGAAGGGCACTATGGTAGATGGCGATAATTATTAAGATCACTACTATCCCTGCACTTGTGGAGTGGCAGCACAAGAGCTGATTTCCATACTTTTGGAATATTTCCTGATAACAATAACATTTGGGTTATTTAGTTATTTGGGTTATTGAGACAACAATGATGGGGGCTGCACACTTAAGCAGACCAGGATCCAATTGGTCGACCCCTGTGGATTTCTTGTTGCCTATTGCTAGCAAAGCATCCAGGACTTATTTTTCTGTAAATAGCCTAAAAGAAAAGCTTTAACTATCATTTCTCTGATCATTCAGCAAGTCATTCAGCATGTTTCCCCTATCAGCATCCTGCCCAATATCATTGTGAATAGGTTTAGAAGTTATTTCAAAGAGATAGCCCGCTGAAATAAAATGGTGATGAAATGCATCAATGATGGTATTTCTTTCCATAATAAGGCCAGTGTCTGAATGAATTTGTTGTGGCAGAGAGGAGGAAGTAGAACCCTTCAGGGATTTGACAGTTTTCCAGAATTTAGCCGGGTTCAATTACAATCTGAAAGAGTGGTTACATAATAATCAGATTTAGCCTTTCTGATTTGTCATACACAATGATTCTTCAGTTGCTTAAAAGCTTGCCAGTCCGGGCCTAAGCCTGTGTTCCTGGCCTTGACCCAAGCATCGTCTCTTTTATGAATGACTTCTGATAAAGAGTGTACCAGGCATTTGATCTACCTTTAACCCTTAATTTTCTGAAGGGGGCATTTGATCTACCTTTAACCCTTAATTTTCTAAAGGGAGCATGATTATCCACAATAGTATTGAAGACATCTGCAAAAAGGCTAAAAGATAAAATCAGGTTCAGGGATAGCGGAAATAAAATCAAGGTCACAAAAATAAAGAATATGTAAAAAAAAAAAAAGCCTGTTCACTGAAGTTTTTAATGTTCCTCTTTGTGATAACACGAGGCTTAGATTTTTGTATTCTCACATCTCTAACACAAACAACTGGGCAATGGTCACTAATGTCTTGAGCAATGACACCAGTAGAAACATATTCCTCTGGTTTATTCATTAAAATGAGATCAATCAGAGTTGACTTTGAAGGATCTTTAGGGTTGGGCCGTGGAGGCTTAGTCACCAGCTGGGTTAGGTTTAGATCATTACACGTCTTTTAGATTGTCTGAAGCCTGCATTTCCCAATCATAATTTGGGTCACCCAGGATAATAACTTTGGATTTAATAAAAGAATACAACAAACTAGTTAACTCCTCGAGTGCACAAAGGTTAGCCGAGGGAGCCTTTACCCCAGACAAAGGCTTAAATATAGTAGCTAAAGATTTTTGGCAAGGGAAATGGATTTCAGTAAAGAGACAGAGAAATTATTTTTAATAAGAATGTCCACTCCACCACCTCTACACTGTCTGTCAGCTCTGAACCCATTATAACACTCAATATTAAAATCCAGAGTCCAGAATGTCCCCAGAGATCCAAGTTTCAGCCAATACTAGAAAGTCCGAATTCGTCTGCATAGCCCAGATCTTGATGTAATGAAGTTTAACTCAATATTAGGAAGGTGATCTTAAAGTTTTGCACACTCACTTAAAAATCCTTCTATAACCTGTCTCCTCCCCTTCATCTACACTGATTGAAGTGGATTTAACAAGTGACATCTTTAAGGGATCATAGCTTTCACCTGGATTCACATGGCAATCTATGTCATGGAAAGAGCAGATGTTCCTAATGTTTTGTACACTTAGTGTATATATTCATGTTTAGTTGATTCCATGTAAGCCTACACATTGGCAGCAGGGAATCAAGATGGGAGCTGATGCAATTATTTATACCGTTTATACCGGTGCATTTTTAAAGGCTAAATCAGGAGTTTAAAGATACACTCCGGCTATTTTTGAACTATTTTTGAACTTTCCCCACTGAGAAATGACAACTAGTGTATAAATAGGGTAATTTACACACACTTAAGCGTCAAACAATACATTTTGTGCAAAAGTATTTTTTTACTCAACTGTGGATGTCCAAGGACCAAACATTTGTAAGAAAGAGAGAAATAAGAGCCATGTGAATTCAGTAACTGAGCATACCCATTTGACAAAGGTGGTAAAATCAAATAGATGCAGTTATCTTCCCCTGGAGGCAGATACAGAAGCATTCCATTAAAATAAACAGAAATGCAATGCATTTCAAATCCAGGGTCGTGTCCCAACTGGCACACTGTTCCCTTTATAGTGCACTACCTTTGACCAGGGCCCATAGGGTTCAAAAGTGGTGCACTATATAGGGAAAATGGTGCCATTTGGGACACAGCCCAGGCGTCGTTGCACCAAAGTGACAGGATGTGACTACACAGAAGAACCTTTTCCTACACACCGAGCGGGATGGGTACAACTAGTTATTTACAGAAATACCTTTGCTGCTGGCAATTTGATTTCCTCAACAACACCACTTACTGGCCCACGTGCAAAACATTGTTGTCGGCACTCTGAAGAATGTTTGTCTGCAAAGTAATACTGTGAATCACTGTAAAACGTATGACGATGTTATAAGAGGAATTGTGTAACTCCCTTGTGATTGGCACATAAAGAGCTTGTTATTATTTCTCTCTCTACTGTGGGATCTCTGGCTTCAAGCTAATTAATCCTGAGCTGTTATTGTATGGCTTTCTTTAGAAGACAGCACTGCTGTTGGTTTTACAATGATGAAGTAGAGTTTCTATGGATGCTCTAGATCGTCTTATGGACTCTTGCTTTCACATCATCACTACTAGCCCCTCACAATACATGGGAAACCTATTCAAACACCTCTGAAATGAGGACCAGAACATAAGTGAATTTCCTGTGAGAGAGTATCTGTGCCTCGCTCCTTCTCCCTGGTCTCACAGTGTGGTGGGAGAAACAAAGAGCTGACAAGCCTTGGTCCCCCACGGTGCGGTGGTGACAGACAACCAGAGACAGAGCAGTGCTCTGCAATAACTACTGCTGCCACCAGCAGCCACTGGCCAGTAGGGAAGAAAGGCTGATAATTACAGCACACAGACCCTGGCTGGGCAGAACAAAACAGCCATGATTACGCCTGTCTCGTTGCCGCTTGCTCCTCATTAGATCCCAGGGAAGCAATGTTTAATCTCTCTCTTTCTCTCTAGCTCTCTATCGCTCTCTTTCTCTCTCTCTGCAAGTCCAACTGAGGAGTTGGGTGGGTGTAAGGAAGAGGGAGGGGTGGGGGAGGGACAATGGGTTCCTGGAGACCCATCAACAGCATTAGCCCCTCAGCCTACTGACGGCTGAATGGACGGACACACTCAAGAATGTCATTAGCACCCGTTCTTAGTTCAGAGACAGCAGACACTTGAAATTGTCAGGAAACATTGTGTCTCCAAGAGATTGGAGAGAGAGAACGAGAGACAGAAGGGGAGAGAGAGAGAGAGAGAGAGAGAGCGAGAGAGAGAGAGAGAGAGAGCGAGAGAGAGCGAGAGAGAGAGAGAGAGAGAGAGAGAGAGAGAGAGAGAGAGAGAGAGAGAGAGAGAACAGAGAGAACAGAGAGAGAGAGAGAGAGAGAGAGAGAGGTAGCTAGAGAGAGAGGTAACGAGAGAGAGCGCTAAATGGAGTGACCGAGAGAGGGAGCGACAAAGAGTACTGTTTCTCTGTACTGAGTGTACTGCAGACACTGATGTTCTCTCAGTATTGCGTCTAGACCAAGGACAGTCAGTCACTCTGTTGCAGCAGCAGCAGATACTCTCCAGGGGTACTGCATCAAACACTAGACATTGTGTTTTTCTTTTTTTCTTTTTTGGGGGGGCCAAAGCTAAGATGTTTGACTTGTTGTTAGCGTTCATCATCATTGACAATTATATAAAATAACTTAAAAGCATTCTAACCATTCACAGCCACTCCTCTATTCTTCTCCATCTGTTAACAAATGCACTTTGCAGTGACAGTTTTTCCACTTTAATTGAAATGCAAACCCCCAGTTAGTACTGTGGCTTTCTTTCCCCAGTTAATACATTTACGTTAAAAGTGTAATCTTCTGTGTAAACCCGAGTTTATAAAAAAAGTATATTATTTTAGTTCATAAAGCAACAGAAGACTATTAAACACCATTTTGTGTGTGCAAGCCTTGGAATTATCTCTTTTCCCATAATTGCTTCCAGATAAATTGGCCTATCCAATTATAACATTTTCCATACAATTTTCATGGTAATAGGTATGACTGTCACTCAACTATTCTCGCATTCGCCACACATTTCTGGACCACGCTTCTTTTTTTAAGATGTCATTGCTCTTCAATTTGTGAGAGTTTAGCAGCCTTGTTTTAAGCACTGCAGAATAAGAAAAGACGGCACACAGACAACATTTGGGATTCATAGAAAGGCGTTCTTCCACAAACATTCGGTTAACAATACATGGAAAAACCCTGATCTCATTCCTATTGAATACCTATTCAAACACCTCCGAAATTATGACCAGAACATAAGTGAATGGCTTTGCACACTGTATTAAACCTTGAACGTTTCACTGACCACCAAGACTGTTTCTCAGGGAGGGATGAGTAGGCAGTATTACTCTGAATTTCCTTGTTCTACAGTCAATGTGGGCTACATAGTGTTTGTTTACAAGAGTATAACAAGCTTATATTTTGGGATCTGATGGGGTACGACAGTTGAACTAAGCTCATGAGGCATTTATAAGTTATATTTTTCAAGAATTCATAGATACATATCAGTAATTTATAAGTTCAAAAATGGATGTAGCAACTATGGATTGCCCCTTTAAATCAACATTTTGCTATATAATTCTTACAGATTGTTTTATTGCCTTTTTAATCGGATAATAATTCTGGAACGTTTTCATTGGAATCAATGATAATTTTTGATTTTAAGTTGGTCTGTTTTTCACTATATCCAGTTTAAGAATATTGTTCTTTCTCAAAGCACTCACTAGGGTAAATCTTGTGGTCCTTTACTTTATCAATAATTAAATAATAACATTGCTCTCTCTCTCCAGATGGACCACGACCCACGGAACCCAGCCTACATCGCTACTCAAGGCCCTCTTCCCTCAACGGTGGCTGATTTCTGGCAGGTACAGTCCTCTCTTTCATAAAATCAATATCTTCTCCAGACTTAAATAAGAAGGGAACAGTGTTATTAGCAGTGTAAGTCAAACTGGAGACAAGTGCTTTTTGTAATCCCACCATAGCCTCCATATATACCGCTACACAATCTACTTGCAAATGATAATGAAATATTGGTGCACATTTTATTTACAGTCGTGGTCAAAAGTGTTGAGAATGACACAAGTATTGATCTTCAGAAAGTTTGCTGCTTCAGTGTTTTTAGATATTTTTGTCAGATGTTACTATGGTATACTGAAGTATAATTACAAGTATTCCATAAGTGTCAAAGGCTTTTATTGACAATTACATTAAGTTTATGCAAAGAGTCAATATTTGCAGTGTTGACCCTTCTTTTTCAAGACCTCTGCAAATCGCCCTGGCATGCTGTCAATTAACGTCTGGGCCACATCCTGACTGATGGCAGCCCATTCTTGCATAATCAATGCTTGGAGTTTGTCAGAATTTGTGGGGTTTTGTTTGTCCACCCGCCTCTTGAGGATTGACCACAAGTTCTCAATGGCATTAAGGTCTGGGGAGTTTCCTGACTATGGACCCAACATTTCAATGTTTTGTTCCCCGAGCCACTTAGTTATCACTTTTGCCTTATAGCAAGGTGCTCCATCATGCTGGAAAAGGCATTGTTCATCACCAAACTGTTCTTGGATGGTTGGGAGAAGTTGCTCTCGGAGGATGTGTTGGTACCATTCTTTATTCATGGCTGTGTTCTTAGGCAAAATTGTGAGTGAGCCAACTCCCTTGGCTGAGAAGCAACCCCACACATGAATGGTCTCAGGATGCTTTACTATTGGCATGACACAGGACTGATGGTAGCGCTCACCTTGTCTTCTCCGGACAAGCTTTTTTCCGGATGCCCCAAACAATCGGAAAGGGGATTCATCAGAGAAAATGACTTTACCCCAGTCCTCAGCAGTCCAATCCCTGTACCTTTTGCAGAATATCAGTCTGTCCCTGATGTTTTTCCTGGAGAGAAGTGGCTTCCTCGCTGCCCTTCTTGACACCCGGCCATCCTCCAAAAGTCTTTGCCTCACTGTGCGTGCAGATGCACTCACACCTGCCTGCTGCCATTCCTGAGCAAGCTCTGCACTGGTGGTTCCCCGATCCCGCAGCTGAATCAACTTTAGGAAACAGTCCTGGCGCTTGCTGGACTTTCTTGGGCGCCCTGAAGCCTTCTTCACAACAATTGAACCTCTCTCCTTGATGTTCTTGATGATCCGATAAATGGTTGATTTAGGTGCAGTCTTACTAGCAGCAATATCCTTGCCTGTGAAGCCCTTTTTGTGCAAAGCAATGATGACGGCACGTGTTTCCTTGCAGGTAACCATGGTTAACAGGGGAAGAACAATGATTTCAAGCACCTCCCTCCTTTTAAAGCTTCCAGTCTGTTATTCTAACTCAATCAGCATGACAGAGTGATCTCCAGCCTTGTCCTCGTCAACACTCTCACCTGTGTTAACGAGAGAATCACTGACATGATGTCAGCTGGTCCTTTTGTGGCAGGGCTGAAATGCAGTGGAAATGTTTTTTGGGGATTTAAGTAAATTTTCATGGCAAAGAGGGACTTTGCAATTAATTGCAATTCATCTGATCACTCTTCATAACATTCTGGAGTATATGCAAATTGCCATCATAAAACTGAGGCAGCAGACTTTGTGAAAATTAATATTTGTGTCATTCTCAAAACTTTTGACCACGACTGTATACAGATATGCCTGGTTGTGTCAAACTATAGGAGAGAAAGGCAGGTTGTCTTGAATTAGATTAGATTATTTCATGCAATCGATAAGGTGGTGAAGTATTATTTTCTACCTCTCTGATAATGGGAGAATTCCAAGGATGGAATTGTTCTGAGTGCATCCCAAATGGCACCCTATTCCCTATATAGTGCACTACTTTTTTTCATCAGGGTGCATAGTGCTCTGGTCAAAAGTAGAGCACTATGTAGGGAATAGGGCGCCATTTGGGATGCATCCTCTGTCCCCCGTGTGTTACTTTAATTGTGCTGCTGAGTGGACGGAATGCCTGGCCCAGCATGAGGACAACCGGAGTATGGGCCTCGGCCTGGACCTCTCTGCCTAATCCCTGTTGGGCCCTGAACACACTCTGAGAGGGGGGTGGAGGCTCTCTCTCTCCCCTCTTCTCCCTAATCTTCCCCCTCCTGTCATTCACTGGCCCTCTCGAGTCCCCACACAGCATGCAGCTCTCTCTCGCTCTCTCTCTCCCCCTCTCCCATAGTCATTATGGCGGCTCAGTGTTACAGAGTTCAAGGAGCTTCCATATTCAGGCTTTCCTGAGGTTATTTTTTAGTGTCTATTCTACCCAGTCAGCAGAATTATGTTTTACCATCATTAAGTACTCTAATGAGCACTGATAGTCTTAGTAAATTAGTATTTTTTTTAAGTGCATTTTACATGGGTCACAACACACTTTACATCATTAAACTCTATTAGAACTTTGTCAACTGTGCTATACTTTGTTCGATGTGCTAAACATTAGCAAATGCTCTTGGTAACTGTGAAATCATGAGCCGTAGGTGAGAGAGCATCCTGGTCATCTGATGAGTGTGACAATAATGTTTTATTAGCTTCATTAACCTGGCTGCTGTTTTTCTATCCTGCCAATGGCTCTCTAGAGCCTACCCAACTTCTGACCAGCGCCATCTAGACTGTATGTCAGCAAGAAAAATACACCTAAACAGACACTACTAGTTGTGGAATGACACAATAGGGAGAGGGACTGTCTCAGTAACAATAATGTATTTATTTGTTAAGGGACAGATACAATTAAAACATTGATACTTTGAATCATCAAAAGTCAGATGCATTGCACCATCATGCTTTAGCTTGCGCCAATTTGCACCATCAGTCCCCCCTCCATATGAAGCTGTTACTTTTTTAACCAAACTGTTTTACTATTGTTAAAGTTGACAAAAACGACCATTTAGAGGACTTTAAGAATTTCACAGCGACAGCTAACAGTGTTTTTCCCAATTATATATGGAAAGTAGATGGTACTGTAATTTAGATGCAGATGATTCAATAAGAAGGAATGGATGATAATGAACCATTTTAATAAGCGTTTTATTCAATATTCCTGTTTGTCAAGTTTTGTATTGTTCCTCTAACACTAGTAAATGGACTCGTACATAAAAGTTTGAAGTGTGTGTGGGAGCATCTCAATAAAATAGCGTGAGGCAAGCACAGTGTGTGTGTGCCTGCACAACCCGATGCAATTACTGGGTGTTGCCTTGTGACAAAATGGCTGTTCTCTCTCTTTTGTGTGCAGATGGTTTGGGAGAATGGCTGTGTGGTCATTGTCATGCTGACGCCCCTCACTGAGAGCGGAGTCAAACAGTGCTACCACTACTGGCCTGACGAGGGGTCCAACCTCTACCACATCTACGAGGTACCAGGCCTGGCTATCCAATGTCTGATGTTCGCTCAAAATGACAATTTGTCGTTATTCTAGACTTATCTATTGTTATTGTTCTAAATCGGAAATATGGTTGTAGTCGTTTAGATATTTAAATGCATGTGAAACAGTGTAATTTCAGCATAATTTGGTTGTAAATGTACTCACTTTTAATTGTATTCAACCATTTACTAATATACTGTAATAGCAGTCAGTAATACACATTTTCTAAAGTTTCTATAAGGTACACAATGCACTGCATGTTTAAAATCAAGTGCACTTCTAATTGCATGATTTACTGTGTATTCAGGGATAACTCTTACAATAGAATAAGAATGAGAACTCTTTCTATTTCTATGACTGACATCACTTCCTCTTCCTCTATAGGTGAACCTGGTGTCGGAGCACATTTGGTGTGATGACTTCCTGGTTCGTAGTTTCTACCTAAAGAACATGCAGACCAACGAGACGCGCACCGTCACACAGTTCCACTTCCTTACCTGGCTCAACCAGAACGTCCCTGAGTCCAGCCGGACACTCCTGGACTTCCGCAGGTAGGACTTCCTAGAGTCAGGGCTCGACAGGGCTGTCCTCACCACTATCTAGAGTTGCAAAAATCCAGGACCTTTCCCAAAATTCCCAGGTTTTCCAGAAATCCTGATCAGAAGATTCCTCGGAAAACATGGATTTCTAGAATGTTACCAGATTTTTGCAACCCTATTACTGTCAGACACGGTAACAATAAGGTATTTTGTGGTATTAAACCTTTAGTTCCCTTCTTCTCCTCTTTCTTTATGTGCCAGTCTTCATATAGATATATACGATATACTATGACTCAGTAAATCTCTTTATTGCTAGCTCTAATGCTCTCTTAGGTCCACTGAGGAATTTTTCAAATAACAGGACAAGTCTGAGTACTGTGATGTTATATAGCCTGGTGTTATTGTATTTGTGCTGCACACTTATGAGGTGAGATCTTCCGGGAAAGAGCAGGGCCAGGATATATGGTGAAACACATCATACTGCCATCAAGCCACCAACTGTGGTCAGTGTGGAATTGTTGCCTTTTCTCATGGGGTGAGGGGAAATACTGGGATTAAAAAATTTGTTCGCGCTCGATTTCTTATTTACATTTGACATTTTAGTCATTTAGCAGACGCTCTTATCCAGAGCGACTTACAGTTAGTGAGTGCATACATTTTCATACTCTATTGCAGTAACACTTGAATCTGAATCTTGGTTTGTGGTTTCGACAGCAATTATCACACTTAAGGGTTCGAGAACATAAACTGCAAGCTAATTCCTCTCTCTGTATTTAATTAACAAGTCTTACTTATGATCGAGCAGCACATTCTTTTATTTCTCAGTTTCATAGCAACCTACCTGTTTTGTTTTGTTTTCTTCCTTTTGTTATATTGCCAGCTAATTAGCGGTTGCCAGTGTCATTTTTGTGATGTTGCAGCTAGTAATATGAGCCCAGTTGCATAGTCACAAAAGTGATCATTGGAAACTGTGACTCTGCAACCAGGGGCCTTGCGGAACCCCCCTGCTCCTCCTCTCTCTCCTCAGCCTCTCCTCCTCTCTCTAACGACCTCTCACCTTTTGCTTGCTCATGATTTGCTTTACTTTCTCTGACTGATACTCTATAAGTTTAACTTATCTAAGGATCGCCTCCCTCCTTTGAATTCCCCCACATTGGTGATCTGCTGTTGTTCCTATGGTAACTTGGTTCATGGTGGGATCGGGACTTCTGAATTGTGAATTGGTTTTTCGTTTTGTTGAGTAACATTTTCTGTCAATTTACTTTTGATCGATGAAGGAATACTATTCATTTAAATCCAGTTTATTAAAGAGATAATCATTGGGTATTATAGCGAGAGCTTGAAATAAATCCCTAGGCATAAGCAGTGGCGGCTCCTGAAAAAATTCTCAGGGGGGGCAATTTTTCTGATGATTTAGGTGACCTACACACATTTAAAAAAAGATATGTCCAGCAACAACATGAAGACAGGGGCAGCATATAAGTCAATGCCAGAAGCATTTATTGACTGATCTCAAAAGTGTTGGCTTACAAAAGCAAAATAAGTTATCACAGTAAAAATAATCAAGGGTGTTCTTTCACATTCCTCAACACTGCATAAACAATATGCATTTCCATAAACAAATGAAATATCAGCTGAAAATACAGCATCTTGGTATTTGTTCAGATTGCAGGATCAACAAGAGCTTTTACCACATTTTTTGCCTCATGGTTGAATTGGAAATATGTGCACCTGAGCATAATTCACAACAAGCAAGCAGGAGCTTTATTGAGGCTACTGAAAACATTGATGCAAGTTGTTGGTAATAAGAAATGTTTATAGACTTCCATATTCTGCCCTCTTGTATAGATTTGTGAAAATGAACAGTGATAGACATTTTGCCTGAAAACAGAATTTGAAAATAATTTATAGAAAAGGTAAACACAGCTATCTGTATGGCTTTGTAAAAATGAACAACCATATTCTGGCCAATTGTATAGATTTGTAAATATGAACAACCATATTCTGGCCAATTGTATAGATTTGTAAAAATGAACATGAACAGATTATTTTATTTTTTTAACTTTTTTTAAAATGAAAAATAACTATTTTAAACAACATCAACTGTGAACTGATTTGGGCGTGTGTGTGTTAAAGAGACAGACAGGGAGGGACAAAGAGAGAGAGAGGCTACATTACTTGTACTGAAACTGTTCTCTTCTCTCTTTCAATGCAGCAAAGCGGTCAATGACTTTCTCATTGAAATCAGGCATGCTGAGGACTAGTTCCCTCTCCATGGAAAGCATGGCCAGTGCATTCAGACGTTCCTGGCCCATTGAATTTCGCAGGAATGTCTTAACTCGTGTCAAAGTTGAGAAACATCTCTCAGCTTCAGCTGTTGTCATGGGAGTAGTTATGAGGATGTTCAACAGAGTCACAGTCTCAGAGAACGTCTCCTGGAGGTTGTAGCTCATGAGAACCTGGTACAGTGCCAGTGCACCACAGTTTGACTTTCTCGTCGTCTGCAAAAAGACCGTTCAGTCTCTCCAAAAGCACACTGGCGATTGAGACTGAGGTTGATTCCGAGATGGGAAGGAACTCAAAAAAGCGCTCCTGCACTTTGTGGTTGCTATCTATGTACCTCAGCACAAGCACCAGCTGTGTCTGTGTAGAAACGTCCGTGGTCTCGTCAGCTTGGATAGCTACGAAGTTCGCCGACTTCACCTCCTCCACAATATGTTCCCTCATGACCGCTAGCATACACTCCAGTAGCTCGTTTTGAATGGTCTTTGATGTGAACTTCTTTCAAAGAGACAATCGAGTTGCACTGAACGCTAGCCATCTTGATAGTAGTACGTGAATTGATTGACGCTGCTACCCCGCTCTTTTCTTAGTTACGTTCATGGTTATGTTACGTATGACGAAAGCGCGTAAGTGCAAGCCCTCAGAAACCCATAGAGATTGTATTGAAAGCTCTGATATTTGAAAAAAAAAGATTTTACATGAGAGTCTATGAGATACTTCTGGGGCGATTTTCAACCTGACTGAAATCGCCCCAAAAGGGGCGGGGCCATTTGAAGCACGACTTTAGCCTGATTGGACATTTAGTGGCAGATCAGACGTCTAGATTAGAACACTGATAACTACTGTTGCCGTGATATAATTGATTAGAAAAAAAATCCCTTCCTTTTCCCGTTTGGCAGTGCGTCGCCCATATCGCCCTAATGAACACACCGCCCCTGGGCATAAGTATTCAGTGTCCTGCCCCACATACAGTAAATGTATAAGTACTGTAGTAGGGTTGAATATTTTCCCGGTATTTTACAAACGTTCCATCCTGAGAATAAATCACTTTTCTCCCGGGTAGCCCGGTATTTCCCGCCAAAACCAGACCATGTCATTCAAAAACATTATAAAGAATAGAAATATGTCTGGATTTGATTAGAGCTTTGATCAACATGAAAATTAAAACCTGATGCTACCTGAGCCTGATGATTTATGTATTTAATACATTTTATGATCCCTACATTAACGACATTTAATGAGCCCAAGCCCAAAAAAGCCCAAATGATTGTGCCATTATCCAATACATATAGTATATAATATAGGCTACTGCACATTATGCACGACAGAAAAACATAAAAGCCCATAGATGTAGCTAGCTATATGCTCTCTTGGGTAAATAAATGAATCTAGCTCCAGTAGGCTAATCTTTTTGAGTGTGAACTGTATTACTGTAATGTATTGTATTATACTGTATTATATGGACTGGAATTACACACATTGTTCAAACCATGATTAAACAGGGAGAGAACATGCGATTCTGGTGCAGCACATGTGGCCTACAAAGTTACAAGTATAGGCTAACGAATTTGATTTTAATTTTGAATAAAAGGGCCTATTTGTATAATTAGTAGGCTGACGCATATATAAAAAATGTAAATGTAATAATATTTCCCATAATGTTATTAGCCTACCTCTTTCTCTCTATTGTTGCTTCATTCCTTCCTCACTTTCAACAGTTAAATGAAACAAGTTTCATTGTGGAACTGCAATTAAAAAACAAGGTGACCCCGAAAGCCTGATGGAGATGGGTAAATTAGACACGCATTCGGTCTTTATATTACTATAGCATAGGCTATGCTGCAGCAAATGTAGGCCTACCTGTCACAAAAAAAAAAGTGACCATGATGAGATGATAGGTCTACATGCATTGTAGAGTGCACTCCATACTGAGATGGTCTGTCCCCACCCTGAGCGTTGATTCATCATGCGGAGTCCATTGAGAAACCAGATTTAGACATCGCATATAATTTAACAGTTCCATTTCACGCCATGCTGTTCATATAAATAATTTATTCGAATTAACCAGTTTCTCACAGTTATTTATCCTGGGAAAAGGGAGTGGTTTTGGGCGGTAAATCCCGGTAAAGCTTGGTAACCAGGTTCACGCCATTCAACCCTATACTGTAGTATACATACAGATGGAAGTTGAATTATTATTTAGTTCTAGTTCTTTAGAAGTTTCAGTAAGATCATTAGCCTACTGCATGTACTTTTATGGGAGTGAGTTTCCCCTAACCCCCACCGCCCCTTCCCCTAACCCCCACCGCCCCTTCCCCTAACCCCCACCGCCCCTTCCCCTAACCCCCACCTCCCCTTCCCCTAACCCCCACCGCCCCTTCCCCTAACCCCCCACCTCCCCTTCCCCTAACCCCCACCGCCCCTTCCCCTAACCCCCACCGCCCCTTCCCCTAACCCCCACCGCCCCTTCCCCTAACTCCCACCGCCCCTTCCCCTAACCCCCACCTCCCCTTCCCCTAACCCCCACCGCCCCTTCCCCTAACCCCCACCGCCCCTTGCCCTAACTCCCACCTCCCCTTCCCCTAACTCCCACCTCCCCTTCCCCTAACCCCCACCGCCCCTTCCCCTAACCCCCACCGCCCCTTCCCCTAACCCCCACCGCCCCTTCCCCTAACCCCCACCCGCCCCTTCCCCTAACCCCCACCGCCCCTTCCCCTAACCCCCACCGCCCCTTCCCCTAACCCCCACCGCCCCTTCCCCCTTTAACATTTTAGTTATTGCGCTCCATGATGAAAAGATCTGGTCCAGCATAATTCACCTCCACAACAACAGCCAATTAACAATGTGAGGGCCGCTGTACGGTGCTGCTGGCAGGAGTGTGTCTCGCCACTGTGTAATTTCTTTAATTGTACAAGGTTAATGCATGGCGGACAAGGGGCTGCGTCTCAAAATGGCACCCTATTCCCTGTATAGTGCACTATATTTGACCAGAGCCCTGGTCAAAAGTAGTGCACTAATGTGTCATTTGGGACGCATATACCCAGCAGCCACCACACCTCATTACCACAATCCAATATATCACCACTGCAATGGCATATCTTCATTAAGTCAGTCTTCATTAATTATGGTTGTGAAATTTGGATTTATATATTATTTTAAATAGATTGAGAAGGGATGTATCTTTTCAAAGTCCACAGTATCATTATAATATTTAACCTTGATGTAGACTTGTTCTTGCCTTCAGGCCCTTATTAATTTGAGAAGTGTTGACCAATTAAAATCAATCATAACTGAGAATAAAATTGGTTCAATCACTTGGTGTACTCTTTTATTTTATATTTCATTTGATCTAATTTTGATGTTGGGATTTGACATAAGGTTTATGATGCTTTATGTCTTCTGTCTGTTCTGTTGCAGAAAGGTTAACAAGTGCTACCGGGGACGGTCTTGTCCTATAATAGTCCATTGCAGGCAAGTATAAAGAGGATTGTACCTCAGTAGAGGAAGTAAATGATGTAATCACAGTATGCCATTTGTCTTTAATGGGTCTTACATCTATGATTATAACACCCCTCTCTCTCTCTATTATGCATATATCTATTATGCATAGATCTACTGTGTTTTCCTTTCATGTATATGTTCCAAACCACAGTTCCCAAAAATAGATGAAACCTGAAATAAATGGTTGGAATATAGTTCATACACTGAACAAAAATATAAACACAAAATGAAAGGAGTTGGTCCCATGTTTCATGAGCTGAAATAAAAGATCCCAGAAATTTGCCATACATACAAAAAGCTTATTTCTCTCACATTTTGTGCACAAATTTGTTTATATCCCTGTTCGTGAGCATTTCTCCTTTGCCAAGATAATCCATCCACCTGACAGGTGTGGCATATCAAGAAGCTGATTAAACAGCATGATCATCACACAGCTGCACCTTGTGCGGGGGACAATAAAAGGCCACTCTAAAATGTGCAGTTTTGTCACGCAACACAATGCCACAGATGTCTCAAGTTTTGAGGGACCGTGCAATTGGCATGCTGACTGCAGGAATGTCCACCAGAGCAGTTGCCAGAGAATTTAATGTTCATTTCTCTACTATCGTGACGTTTTAGAGAATTTGGCAGTATGTCCAACCGGCCTCAAACCGAAGACCACGTGTAACCAAGCCAGCCCAGGACCTCCACATCCAGCATCTTCATCGTCTGAGACCAACCACCCGGACAGCTGATGAAACTGTGGGTTTGCACAACCGAAGAAGTTCTGCACAAACTGTCAGAAACCGTCTCAGGGAAGCTCATCTGCGTGCTCGTTGTCATCACCAGGGTCTTAACCTGACTGCAGTTCGGCGTCGTAACCGACTTCAGTGGGCAAATGCTCACCTTCGATGGCCACTGGCACGCTGGAGAAATGTGCTTTTCACGGATGAATCCCAGTTTCAACTGTAACGGGCAGATGGCCAGCGGTGGGGTTATGGTATGGGCAGGCATAAGCTACGGACAACGAACACAATTGCATTTGATCAATGGCAATTTGAATCCTGAGGCCCATTGTCGTGCCATTCATCCGCCACCATCACCTCATGTTTCAGCATGATAGTGCACAGTCCCATGTCACAAGGGTCAGGTCAGTACACAATTCCTGGAAGCTGAAAATGTCCCAGTTCTTCCATGGCCTGCATACTAACCAGACATGTCACCCATTGAGCATGTTTGGGATGCTCTGGATCGACGTGTATGACAGCGTGTTCCAGTTCCCGCTAATATCCAGCAACTTCGCACAGCCATTGAAGAGGTGTGGGACAACATTCCATAGGCCACAATCAACAGCCTGATCAACTCTATGCGAAGGAGATGTGTCGCACTGCATGAGGCAAATGGTGGTCACACCAGATACTGACTGGTTTTCTGATCCACGTCCCTACCTTTTTTAAAGGTATCTGTGACCAACAGATGCATATCTGTATTCCCAGTCATGTGAAACCCATAGATTAGGGCCTAATGTCATTATTTCAATTGACTGATTTCCTTATATGAACTGTAACTCAGTAAAAAAAAATGAAATTGTTGTATGTTGCGTTTATATTTTTGTTCAGTGTAGTTTAAAGCTTGTGTTTTCAGTTTTCATATAACCATTAGCACAAGCAGAAACATTAGCATAGCTATAGCTTTGTAGACTACACATAGGCACCTTGCAGATAAATCACAGGTCTCTATCTCAGCTCAGATCAGCTTAGCTCAGCTCTGAGAGGCGAGCCAGTCGAGGCCAGGCAGGCAAACAAACATCTTAAAATGTGTTTTCTGTGGCCCAGGGCTTTGTCCTCAGCCTTATCTTTGATCAGTTCATAATAACCCATGCTAGGCATTGCTAAGTATCGATACATACTGCAAACTACAGATCACAGACATAGATAGCAGCGTCCCCCCGGAGTCCCTGTCTGCATTCCAAATGTCACCCTAGTCTCTTCATAGTGGTGCTACCAGGCCCTAGTCAAAAGTACTGCACTATAGGGGGCCATTTGGGAAGCACATCCTGTAAACTGCAACGGGATTGTGCTCAATTACCATTGCCCAGATTGTTCAGATACACAACAGACAGTGTGTTTACTGTGTTTATGTAAACCTCTCGTGCTTTTCTAAGGGGATTTGGTGTCTTCTTTTTTTACAGTGCCAACACCAGTCGAAGTAGGTGATTTATAAATGAAAGACATAGATTAAAAACATAGATGAAAATAGTATTGCATCTCTATTCATCAAACTAAATGTTCAGTATACCCCCTCTTTTTTCTATATGTACTGAGTGTTTTTGTTTTGTTAGTTTTTCACCAGCAATTTTAATAAAATAAATGTACTCTTCTTTGCATCATATTGCAGCTTTGCCACTTTTGAGGATGGTTTATTATTCTTGTTATTACATTTAAACCCCAGAACAACCTTTTTATACAAAAATCATCATGTTTGATGTCGTTCAGCCCCTCAAAATAGCATTAGTAATTTTATATGCTTGGAATATTAAACTCTCCTCTATGTTGCCACCTGTTATGACTGCATAAAAACAGCTCACATTTTTACAAGCTGATACAATATCAACAAACAAAAATATTAGCATTCAAAATTAACAACTTTCATTTAGGGCTGTAAGTAAAAATTGTATTGACCAAAACAATAACACATTGAAATAGTATTGTGTCTGTTAAGTCATTTTAATCACACCCCATCTCTCTCTCTCTCTCTCTCTCTCTCTCTCTCTCTCTATTGCAGCAATGGCGCCGGGAGGAGTGGAACATACATTCTGATTGACATGGTTCTCAATAAGATGGCTAAAGGTGGGAGTCAGACAGCTTTTCTTTTCTCTTTAGGCTTGTTTAGCAGCATCGCCAATTCAACATTAAAGCCTTACTCTTTTTCAGCTGTGGGTCTTGAAATGCATTAGAGGGTGACTGGCTCGGGTGCAGCTTCAATGAATGAATGATCAATGGAAATGGAGAGAAAAAAATATGGAGATATTTTTTGGTTAATATCAGTATTCCCAATCACATTGATTATTTCAGATATACATGTAGTTTAAGAGTTCCTATTCTGGCAATTTATGTCAAACAAATTGTAAATGTGTTAATGCAGATACATTTATCATGTTTATTGGAATTTAATGCCATTTCTCTTCAGCAAACAGCATACCTAATTGTGTTCATGTAGGCTCACATGCACTTTTGTTGGAATGTGCTCTTCCATTCAAATTGAAAGCACCTTACACCAATTGCTTCAGCATGGCATTCACACAAACACACACACACACACACACACACACAAACACTAATTTGTTCTTGACCTATTCTCCTCTCGGTTTGTCGTGGTGGTGGTGGTGGTGGTGTGTGTGTGTGTGTGTGTATGTGTGTGTGTGTGTGTGTGTGTTCATCCGTGCATTTACATTTGTGTGTATTAGTGATTTCAAAATCTCCTGACCGGTGCTGTGGCCCTGGCCTTAAGCAGGCATCTTAGGCCTGCTGAGAGGGGCTTTTCCCAGGCTGTCACACTGTGAGGCAGCCCAAAGGCTTTCTTCTCTGTGCCGTGGAGGAATCTGGGCCCGGCCAGTTAGGGTTAGGGTCCTCTTTGTCTGTCTCCTGAGAAGCAGGAGGCCCAGGTTCCCTCAGCCTGATCAAAGACCTGTATGCCCTTGGACACAAAATCATTCTCTTCTCACTTTTTTTACCCTCTCTTTTTCTCCCAAGGAATGAATTGTACATTCGGAGGCTGAGAATTATGCCTTTTTTTTTTACTTACTACCAAAGCCTCTTTTTTTTCTCCTGCTGTAATGTTCTCTCTAACTTAAGAATCAGCAGCACAAGTGCAGGAGTGCTTTCAGCCCGGGGTCCAGCTGCTAGCCACGGCTCTGTCTCTTTCACAGCTCCCACAAGGACTTGGGGCTTTCTCTTGATTCTTCTCAGAGCACCCCTCCTTGAAGGGATTCTTGCAAGGGAAACTCAAATGAGCCATTTATACTGTTCCTCCACAGTCTGGTTTATTACAACCAACACAATAGCCTGGCTGTTAAGTCCTAGAAAATGAAGAACTTATTAGTGTGGTGCTCATAGAACTGTGTGAGCACCAGTCTTGGGTGGGAGGAATAGACTTGAGTTACTCTATTGTAACTGTAGAGTAAAAACTGTCATTGAAAGAGAATGGCTTGAATTAGCTATTCTTGCTTATTATTTTATATTTTGTGTAAAACAGAAAAGTTTGCTCTTTTGATGCACAGGAAAGATTTTCTGAGGAAAGTGTGAGAGGGGTTAAGGTAGTTAGCTACAGAAAACAAATCAAATCCAGTTTATTTTTCAATTTTCCTCACCACTCCTCATGAATGTAATTTTGTTGTGTTTGTCTCCCTCACTCTGTTACTTATGATTTTCTCCAAAGCTTTCACAGTAGGCCTTCAGCGCCACACAGACCATCATGTAGTCTGGCCCCAATTCCAGACCCAGATAGCTGTCTTCTTTGTGATCACAGCCATGTTTGGTCGGCAGGGGAGCATAGAGCAGTGCCAACTGGGCACTGGGTCTGAGGGCAGGGCCCGCTGCCAGGATGACTGGGCACTGGTGCTGCAGGGATGGGGAAGAGAGGGTTCTCCACTCTGCTTGCCCAGTATCCAACACATCTAGCTATTCACCTGGGTGGTAGCTTGCCAAGTAGGAAGGCAGAAATACAGACAGGTAAATAGGCAGGCATCCCTTGCTGCTTGAGACTGAGACAACCTATGGGGCACCTTGGTTAGCTCACAAAGCTTTGATCAAAACAAATCGTTATTTGAAGTGTTTATTTTGTTTTATTTTATCCTAAGAGAATCCCTCTGATTCCTGTATCTTACATTTTGTGGTTTTACAAATACCTTTGCAAACATGTTCTTTCCCCACCCTCTCATTTTCATCCAGCCAACAAAACAATCGGAGCCTTGTTTGTAGCGTCTGTGTGGATAAGGGATGAATGTAATACTTTTCAATCGTTGCATGGCGGAGGTTCCAAAGGGAGCGAGTAAAAATGAGATTGACAGACGCTGCCTGGATGATCTCCTGGCTTTGAACTCTGTCCAATTTGTTGTTGGTGTTGTGTTGCAGGTGCTAAGGAGATTGATATTGCTGCCACCCTGGAGCACTTGAGGGATCAGCGGCCGGCTATGGTCCAGACAAAGGTAATGTCCTCACCTCTGCTGGGAACTCTAATGGACTCTGATTTCTCAAAGGAGAGGGAGGGAAGGTATGAAATGGCTAGCTAGTTAGCGGTGCACTAATAGCGTTCAAATGTTCAAAGCCTTTGCTTTAGTGCAGTGCTAGGTTTGTAGTGGGTGTATGGTGTTTCCCAAACTAGAGAGAGAGAGAGAGAGAGACTGGCATGCTCAGTTAGTTGTGTCTTGTCTACAGAGTCCTCAAGAAATGTGGAGCTTTTATGTCTGTTTCATAAAGCAGAGTATCAGCTCAAATGAGACCCAAGTTGTTCCCCAACACTAAACACAAAGAATGAACAATATGTGTTCTGGTCAGACAATCGACAGCCAGTTTGGAAACATCAATCATAGTGTGGATTCCCTGAGAATTATTAGATTGGCCCAGCAGTCATATCGATCCATTCTTTATTAAACCATGTATCCTCAATGAGTGACTGTCATGTTTTCACAATTATTGGTGATGAGAAATGTTTTATTAGTATACGTTTTGTTTTCTGCAATATCGTATAAGCCTATCGTATATAGTTTGATTTCTGTAGGTAAGGGTTCTACATACATAGTACATTTTAGTCGTTTGTTTAGTTAGTAAACTCTACAGTTTTACTCCCCCTAGTGGTTGCTTATTGAATCACTTCAGCTCAAACCATCCCTTTTCTCACAAACAAAAAAAACAAAATTTTTGAAAGGGTTTTTTTTGTTTTAAATTATCCTAAAACCCCCCTTTTTTGTATTTCGGGTTTTTAAAATTTTTTCAAACGTTTTTCCCCCCCTTATTTTTCCCCCCCGGGGGGGGTTTTTGAGGGGTTGTGGAAAGGGGGTTTAAATTTTACGGCATGGCGGAGGTTTTCCCCGGGGGTTAAATTAATTTTTAAAAACCCCCCGATTTTTGGGTTTAATTTTTTCCAATTTTTTGGGTTTGGTTCATGTAAGGGTTGTTTTTGCCCCCCTGGGATGGGAACCCCTATGGGGGAAAAAGGAATTTCCCCTCAATTTTTCTGGGAACTCAAGGACTTGATTTTGTAAGGGGGGGGATGAATGGCCATTGGGGGGCCCACATCCAAAAAAGCAAGTTTTTTTTTTTGGGGATGCTTTTTTGGGGTTTTTTTTTGGGGTTTCCCCGAAAAAGAGGGCCCCCTCCGGTTTTTTTTTTACAGATCCTAAAAAGTGGACTTTTATTTTTTTTTAAAGGAAAAGTAAATAAAAATTTTTTTTCCCCCAAACTAAACCCAAAGAAAGAAAAAAAAGTGGGCGGGGGAAAAATACACCCTTTTGGCTTTTTTGGGAAATTTTAGTTGGCCCCGATCAATATTCTTATTAAACCTTACCTCGATTTTTTTAAAAAGGGGGGAAAAAAAGGGGGGGGGGGAAAAGGGGGCCTAAAGGCAAATGAACCCCTTTTTTAGGGAGGCAAAAGGGGGGGAAGGGCCCCCTAAGGGAAAAGGAAGCCGGGGGCCCGAGGGGGAAGGCCCAAAAGGGGCTTATGGTCGTTTATAAAGCAGGATCAGCTCAAATAGCCCAAGTGTTCCCCAACACTAACAAAGAATGACAAAATGTGGTTCTGGTCAGACAATCGACAGGGTTTTTTGGGAAAAATCAATCATGTGGTTCCGAGAATATTAGATGGCCAGCAGTCTATCGATCCATTCTTGATAACCATGTATCCTTGATGGGCTGTCATGTTTTTCACAATTATTGGGTGAGGGGAAATTTTTAGTATACGTTTGTGTTTTCTGCAATATCGTAAGCCGATCGTATATGTTTGATTTCTGTAGGAGGGTCTACATACAAACATTTTAGTCGTTGTTTAGTTAGGAAACCTACATTTACTCCCCTAGTGGGGGCTTATTGAATACTTCAGCTCAAGTGGACCATGGAGGAATCATGGGTTTCTAGACTCTAGACAGTTTCTAGCTCCCTCTGTAAGTCGATCTGACATTTGTATGCAATCTCAGAAAGAACATTGGCTTAAACCTACAATGACTCTTCTCTCTCGCTCTCTCTCTCCCCCTCTCTCCCCCTCTCCTCTCCTCTCTTCCTCTCCTCCTCCCTCTCTCGGGCCCCCTATCCCCCCCTTTCGCTCTCTCAACTCCCCCCTCTCACCTCCCTCTCTCTCAATCCACCTCAGAGCTTGAAGTTCATTGACCGCTTGCGGAGGGGTGAACGCCCGCTCAAGCCTTCCCAAAAGGCCCCCACCCAAACAGAAAGCCCCCCAGGCCCTCCTCTTCCCTCCCTCCTCCCCACTCCTCCTCTCCCACCCATCCCCCCCATCCCCTCTCTCCCACCTCTCCCTCGGCCATCTCCTCTCCCCCAATCCTCCTCCACCTCTCCCCCAACTCCTCTCTCCACCCACTCTCCCCACTCCTGCTGGGGCCCTCCTTCCTCGATCACTCCCCCCTCCTCCGCCCCCCACCGGGGCCCCTTCTGTCCCCTCTCCCCCACTTCCCCATCGGGCCCTCTCTTTCTCCTCCCACTCCCCTCTCCTTCTCCCTCCGCCCTCCTCCCTCCTCACTCTCTTCCCCACCCCCTCCTTCCTCCCCTCCCCCTCCCTCTCCTCTCTCCCCTCCTCCCTCCTTTTCCACCTCTCCCCCACTTCCGCTCCTTTTCTCCCCACTCCCTCCCCCCCTCCTTTTCCTCCCCCCTCCTCCTCTTCCTTCCCTCCCCCCTCCTCCTCTCCTTCTCTCCACCTCCCCCCCACCTCCTCCTCTCCTCCTCCCCCCCCACTCCCTCCTCTCCCTCTCACCCCCACTCCTCCCTCCTTCTCTCCACCTCTCCCCCCATCCTCCTCTCCTCCTCTCCTCCCTCCTCCTCTCCTCCTCCCCTTTCTCTCCCCCCCCACTCCTCCTCTCCTCTCTCTCCCCTCTCCTCTTGTGTTGTTGTCAAGAGCGTACCTTATCTTAGTTGTTATAAAAAAATATGTTCTAAACAGACAATTTAGTGCATCAAGACTTTTACTGATTGAAAAACATGTTTATCTATTAAATTATTAGAATAATTAAACAAAATTTTGTTTTTAGATCTATTTTGTTTGAAATTAATGATGTTGGTAAACTTGTCATGGGCAACTTTCTTTTTCTTTTTTTTCTATTTTTTTTCTTTGGTTCTATTATGCGGTGTACTAAACCATACCATGTAATGGAAAACTGCTTAATTTGGTCAAGTCGACTGAAGACTGATAACAATGATGCTGATGTTAATTCTAGTTACCATAGTGATAATGACACCAAGCAATATGGTTTCTTCAGCTTGTCCAGACCTGGACAAATAATTGTATGTTGTGGACAACGATTGTGAGTAAACTAAACTAACTAATGTCAGTAAACTAAACTAGCTAATGCCTGCCTCAAGTAAAGCAGTTCTATGATTTGGTGTACTGTATGTATGATGAAAACGATATTGTCTTTTTGTAAATAAAGCAGTTCTTCTAATCTAGTGTCTGGATTCAATCCGTATCGCCGAAGTATCGCAGAAGATCCTGGTTAAAATGTAAACGTAATTTCCAATTGAGCCGACATACGCAGCGTTTACCGTTAATGCAGTCTCCGCGACCGCGGGAATATTGCCTTTAATTGTCAATCGTGCTATAAAGCGAATCATCAGTGCTACGGATTGAATAAAGCTCTAGATGTACATGTTGCATCAATGGCTTAGGTCTGAATATAAGCTGCCACTGGATGTCCCTGTGTCTTATTTACTGTGTTCCAAATGGCACCCCTTTCCTTATATACAATAGTTAACTTATTTTGACCAGAGTTCTGGTCAAAACAAGTGCACTATGTAGGGAATAGGGTGCCATTTGGGACACCAACCAGGCAGGTTCGTCTGCACTACAGAGTACTGTCAGCTAAATAATAATAATAATAATTAATAATAATATATGCCATTTAGCAGAAGGTTGTATCCTGTACAGTCACCGTGTGCATACAACTCTACCCCAATACTTTGTGCTTTGACTAGACTCATGCCATTCGATCACAAAATCTTGTGTCAAGCTTTCATATGTTTGTCCATTGGATTCTGTTTTGTACATCCAATATTTTCTGAATTGCAGATGATATGACCTGTTTTTTTACCATACACTAGCACATGGCTATTTGAAACTATTATTCCCCAAATGTATCTCCTTCAGCCTCAAAATATATCCTAGAGATACCCTGGTTACGTCTTTTGCTTAGCAGATACTTCACTTATGTTCGAGGAAACATGATTGTACATGATATATCATGTCACCATGAAGAAAGCCAAGGATGTGATTTACTATTTACTTTGACAAGCCAAGGATATATAATCATGCCATTTGAGACATTAATTTCTGAAGAATAGTAGTGCAAGTACAGAGGGGAAATAGTGGATTGTTATATTACATATTGGCAAAAACTCCTCCTGCGTACAAAATGGCAACTGATTCCCTTTCTATTACACTTCTTTTCCTTTGGTCCCTGGTCAAAAGTAGTGCACTATAAAGGGAATAGGGTGCCATTTGGAACGCATCCAGAGTTAAAACGGGCCATGTTTATGTGTCCTATACTGTCACCCACTGCAAAAAGCTTTTATCTTTCAACTCATTTATTGCAAGAGATGGCTGGTCTGTTACATTGATCTGTATATATATATGATTATTCAAAAACCAACAGAAAATATTTTGTTCTAACAGTGAAGATAAACTATTGTGAATAAAGTCCCATTATCGATGGTGTGTTGTATTGCAACCTTGTACTCCCAGATGTTGTCATTCTTTCCACCACTATCTTCTTGTGCAGTACGTATTTATTTTTTGCATTGTCTGAGTAGGCAAGAAACCTCTATAAAGACTACATATAACAGTCATACCTATTCAAAATAAGACCTGATCCTATTTCCCAATACCTCTAAAATGGTCTCAAAGAAACCTTAGTTTCTTTCTAAGGTTCTAAGTTTCCTTCTGGTTCGAAGGTTCTTTCTTCTTAGCCAGAGTGTCTGAATGGCTGGGTGCTATTCTGATCTCCAATCTGCATGGTGATTCACATGGCTTGGCAGCTTCATGCTACTTCAGACTGTAGATTATGCTGTCAACACTTCCTACCAACCACACAGTAACAGGATGGAACACTGACTGACTCCTGTCTCATAACCACACTCTCACGCACGCACGCATGCACACACACACACACACACACAGAGAATGAAGAGAAAGAACTCACCTAAAGAAATGTCACAGTGATATTTTAAAATATATAAATAAAGAACAAGCTTCATAGACAGAAATTATTCTGCTTTTCATAGTAGAAAGTTAATTTAAAAAGATCGACAGGTGGCATGGTGAGATTGCAAACTAAATCTGCTCTTATGCCTCGTCATCTTTGAGGGCCTACTGTAGTCTCTCAATACATCAATTTGTTGTTTTATGCTTTCTAAGTCAACATCTCAGCTATATACAGTACAGTATGTACCAAGCTCAAGGATATACTTTTCTCTCAATCAATAAGCACTTGTTTTGCCTGGATAAGCATACTAAATAAACAGTAGAACACTATTTGAGTCCTAACCTTGCTCCTTCGGTGCCTCTAAGAAGTGACACCTAGCTAATAAAAATGACCATGGTGTATTGTATTGCAACCTTGTACTCCCAGATGTTGTCATTCTTTCCACCACTATCTGCTTGTGCAGTAACTATCACCACCAAAATAAAGTATTTATATTCCATTCTATTCTATTCTTCTACCCTCTACAAATAAGGAGCCTTTTCAGGACCATGGTCAACTCTCTTCCCAGCATGGGCTCTAGTCTGGTCTACTGCATGTTACGTAAGAGCAATCTAACTGGTGGATGTATCTCACTGGAATACTTGGAACACGCTCTTGTTAAAAGTCAACCTGTTTACAGAAACGCCACCAAGATTTGTCATTTGACAGCTAGCTACAGGTGGTGGTTGACCCTGAAAACAGCCACTCCCCCGACTCCCCCTTTTTGTGACATCATGCCAATACTGTGAATACTTGAAACAGGGCCTTGTTGAAAGTCAACCTGTTTTCATCCCTATCTGACCATGTGAATGATGTGAGATTCCACACACAGCAACCGTGGTCTCGTTTTGCTATAGTGTAATGCAAAATGATCAACAGTTGTAGTTTGCTATTGGTCTGAGAGCCACAGTTAGGTTAAAGCTTCAGGGCCATGATATGGTTGCCTGTGTTATGTTTTGGGTTTTGAGTCCAATCTCTGAATGAGGCTGGCTGTAGTGATGTAGGCTACAGATGTAGAACAGAAGCCTGATGGGTGGGGTCAACAGAGAGGTCAACTGAATGAAACCGCCGTGGAATATTTGAATGACTGTTGCTCCAACAGACTGCCAACATCTGAGAGAATGAACGGAGGAAAGTCTGAGTCCCAAATGCCAAGGCTCTGGTCAAAAGTAGTGCACTATATAGGGATAGGTGCCATTTGGGGTGCACTATATAAGGATAGGGTGCCATTTGGGACACACAAGACTCAGCCTCACTTCAATCACTATGAAAATCTTTTCTCATTACATCCAATCCAATTTGATTATTAATAGGCGTCGATGTTACTCTGGCATTTCACTCTGTTTCATCTCGTCCCCCACGCGTCCGTCCTGGACACTTCTGCCGTTTAGTTGATAATTTTCATTGGTGTGATACGTGTGGTGACCCCAATATTGCATGGTGTCACTCATCATTAGGCGTTTATCAGCACCTCTTCAATTGCCGCACTCTGGGGGAATTTAACTATTTGCATACAAAAATTGCTTTCCTTCTGCATGGCATGAAAAGACTGCTTTGCATAATTACAAGTGATACGGTGATCTCAGACAAACCGTGTACTGGGGAATCAGGATGAAAAATATGACTATAATAGAAAAGAAATCTACACTACAAGACATGAGGAGAGGTCGTTAAGAAATTCCTCATGTTATTTAGGTCTGTAAGTAAGCGTACCTCACACACTGCTGGTAATCAGCTTGTTATCGCCCATTAGAATGAGTGGAATCATGTCAGAACATTGACCTCCATGCATTGTCTTTTTGTTCTTTTCATGGAAGTTCTTTTTATAGAATCTTAAAGGGGACTTTGATCCTTTCTTTGGCTAAAAGCAAAAGGTCAAGTTGGAGCCGAGGATGGTAAACTTTTTTTTATTAACGTTATCTATTGTAGAAAGTATTATTTTAAAAGGGCAAGGACATCTAATGCTCCCATTGAAGGAAAGCTGAATTAATGGTGTTTTGGTTGCATGGTCTAAAATAATTTGGACTGATTTGAAGAATAAAACTATGGAACAGCAGCTAAATAAAACCTAAAAGAAGAGTTGCAAAGAATGATAAGAATCAAACTACATCTGATAGTGATTTGACTAGTGATTTGATTAGTGACAGGACTAGTCAGAGGTATTGCCCATTAAAGGTGATGTGTGCGTGCATGCGTGTGTGTGTGGGGGGGGGGGGGGGTTAGGGGCTACCTCGGATCAACCCTAACCCTAGCCATTATCCTAACCCTTACCCTAGCTTCTTGTCCACACCTCGGATCAGCCCTAACCCTAGCCATTACCCCAACCCTAACCCTAGCCATTACCGTAACCCTAAACTCTAACCCTAGCCATTACCCTAACTGAACAGCTATTAGAGATCAGCACAGTGGGCTTGTCATCATGTTGCTGCTGTGCAGGTGTCTGCTACCTTCTATACTGGAATCAAAGGGAGATATGTTCAGATGGAAGAAAGGAAAAACCCGCACCCACTGAAATATTATTTAAGTTTTAATGTCTTATTTTTTAGCAGCAGAGGTAAAACGGATGCGTTTCAACGGCAGCCTTCATCAGTGTTTGGAGAACAATAGACATCCACCCATATTTACAGATGACGTCACATTGTAGTACTGCCTCTTTCTTTTTTCACAATCATTATTTACATTCATTACAGTTACGTGTATTCATGGATGCCAAGGGAAGCCAGCCTTCCCCCTTTTTTATAAAATAATGTTTCTTTCATCTCTCTGTGTTTCATAATTTTCCTTCAGTTTGCAAGAGGCTGAATGTATCTCACCGGAGAAAGCATCCGAGCGAGCGACACAGCGCCCCTCTGTTTCTATGTGTAGCCCATCTATCTGATGCTGTCTGGTCAAAAAGAGTATGATATTGTTGCCACCCGTAGCATTGAATGCAAGGGAAGCCAGCGAGCATTTGGCCTCCCTTAATAAAGAAATTATACAATAATAGCCGATCAGCGTTGTGCTAAACTGAGTGATCTCAGCTGTGAATGGTCCTGGCGCACCAAAAAAAAGTGTCAAGGGAAGCCAGTTTGGATTTGGCTTCACACCTATCACATCACATCAAGCCAAACGTCATTTGATAGAAAACAAAACTGAATTGTTGCATCTCGTTGTGTTGTCCTCCAGTGGCTAGCTAGCTATCTAAAATGGTGCCTTTCCTAAATTAGCCATGGACAGAGATAAGGATTTGGACTTAATTCTCTGTACTGGCCAATGATTATAACGGCGATTCTGATCCAACAATAAATTCATACATTGTGCCTCTGGCCTGAGAGGATGGAATTTCAATATGTAGCTAGACGTAGTAGGCTAATGTTAACTAGCTGGGTAATCGTTGCCCATGAAAGGAAGTTAGGCTAGTGAGCAAGCATTTTATCCAAGTAGCCTAGGATAACACAAACTAAAAGCATGTACTGTATGACAGAGTCATAGACCATTTCGGCAACATGAAAGACAGGAGGATGGCATTGGCGTTTCTCTACAAGTAGAGTGAGTCAACATGTTTTTTTCTACTTACGCACACACACATAAATCAGTACCATGGCCAGCAACATGATATTTAGCTTACATTGATTGGACTAAATTATTTTTGGAATCTTTTAGTTGTCACTGAAGTAGACTAAGCATAGGTGATTTGATAATGTTGAAGTTGAAATGGTGCTGGAATAGTGGAGGCAGCTCTTGTTTTCTTTGCGACTTGCAGTAACTCTCCGGTGTTCTAAATCAATAGTTGTTTAGTAGTCCAAAAATGTCGGAAACATTAACTTGCTTGACCATGCTGTAGGTCATGTAACTGTCTGTTACTATACATGCAATTTGCTTTGTGGACTATATATCACGGTGGCAAGGCATATGAACGAACATGTTACAGATCAAACAATGCAATTATCATAACACAGGTTGTAATATGTTTTTTTCCGCTGGCTTGGCTTCCCCAGTGATTTTACCTACGCACTGCTATTTATTCATTATTTACATTCATTATTTACACTACCAGTCAAAAGTTTTACAACACCTACTCATTCAAGGGTGTTTCTTTATTTTTACTATTTTCTATGGAATCATGTAGTAACCAAAAAGTGTTAAACAAATCAAAATACATGTTATATTTGAGATTCTTCAAATAGCCACCCTTTGCCTTGATGACTGCTTTGCACACTCTTGGCTTTCTCTCAACTACCTTCACCTGATATGCGTGGTTGGAAACAAAAGACAAAAGTCAAGCTTTATCGCTTGATCAAGACTGCGGGTAGGATCATTGTTATAGATCAAGAATAGGCCGCCAACCTGTATACAAAACTCATCCTCCTAAAACTTGAAAGCATTTTACTGGACAGTACTCATCCCCTTCACTCAAAACTCAGTCACAGCAGCAGCCAGACAAGGGGATAGATATGGGGACTCTTTTATTCCAACAGCCATTAGGCTGTATAACGGATAGTTTGTTGGTCCCTCCAGTATACAGCATATTGCACTTTCACTTTAAATGTGTAGCTATAGCACTTTCAATTAATTATATTGTGTCATTTCTGTGTTTTCATGTTTTATGTTCCGTCTTTT